GCACGTGATGTGCTAAAATGGTTGGGAGTGAGGTGCTGTTGTTCCAGCAGCGAAGTTGTTGTATTGTGTAAGTTGTGTGTAAGTTGTGTGTAAGTTGTGTGTTCTAGCTGAATGCCTGGTCCCCCGGCCCTACAGATATACGAGAGTCACGGCAAGATTATTAATGCAGTTTGTAGCCTTGGACTCCTAGAGCTCATGCCTTGGCCTGCGACAACAAGCCATAGTCAAGGTAGAGCATTATAGAGACGGCTGGTGAGATTTGTCCCCCGCGCTAGTATTGGTGGAAATTTATGGATTAATCAAGCCTAGCGTTCATTACTTATCTTCCCTAATTAGGACAACTTCAACGCTCAATTCATTCTTTCTCTCACAGATCCAAACATGGAGGATATTGCTCCCCCTCCAGATCGTCTTTACGCTTCCTACGATGAAGCCTACAATGCTCTTAGGATCCATGGTATACAGCATGGCTATAGATTCATACTCAGGCGGAGCAAACCTCACGATTATAATGTCAAGACACGATATTACTACCAATGCGATCAATTTAGAAAGTATCTGTCAAGAGCAAGGATTCTGAGCAGAAGCACGCGCAACAGGATGTCCCTTTAAGCTTGTTATCTTCAAGACCAAGCAATCGGAGGATTACGACCAGTAGAAGCTAGAGGTTCAACATAAGCATCATAACCACTTTTGATCACTCGATCCTAGTGCGCATAATGTCTGTCGTAGACGTACACCGGCTCAGAAAGATACGGTCACATCAATGAGACATGCCGGGCCTGACCGATGCAGATATTGGCCGCAATTCAAAAGGAGGATAAGGATGCACTAATCTCTGCCACTGATATTCGCGGCAAGAGAAAGGCAATCAAATAAAAGCATTTAAATGGGAGGAGTTCGATCGAGACATTGCTAGACGACCTTTCCTCGCTAGGAGGGGTTTTCGCTGTTAAGAAAGATGCGGACAATCGCGTATAAAGTCTCTTCTTTGCCCACCAGAAGCAGATCGAGCTACTGCTTGCGAATCCCGATGTCCTGTTGATGGACTGTACGTATAGATAACAGAACCAACAAGTATAAACTTCCACTGTTACACATGATCGGCTGTACCAATCTGCAAGCCTTCTTCTCTGCAGGCTTCTGCTTCCTCAGTAACGAGACACAAACAGACTATTATTGGGCGCAGAGGCTGAGAGAGTTAGAGGTAGTTACAGCAGTCGTAGCTGGTGCAGATGTAGGATCTGACATGGAAACAGAGGTGACTAGGTGTCGTAGGAGGTTAGCAAGTTATTGATCCCGAGGTGGAGGAGGAGGCTGGAATTGAGGGACAGAAGGCGGCACACGTTGTTCAAAAGCCGATGGGTCTCTACGAGTTGAAGCCTCGTTCCTCCTCGGCGCACCTCTTGTTTAAGCAGGAAGCGGCTCGAGGATAGACTAGTATGGCCTTAGAGATAGATGTATTGACTATCCTTGAGAGCATTGTAGGCTTCTTCATGGGAAGCGTAAAGACAATCTGGAAGGGAGCAATATCCTCCATGTTTGGATCTGTGGAAGAAAGAACGAATTGAGCGTTGAAGTTGTCCTCAGTTAGGGGAAGATTAGTGATGTATGCTAGGCTTGATTAATCCATTAATTTCCACCGATACTAGCGCGGGAGACAAATCTCAAAATCGGGGGGACAAATCTCAGCAGTCTTAATCAGAGGTTGAGCTAGCGAAACTAATGTCCGAGTGCATAACACCATCCGCCGCTGGTTGTGTCAACATATTTTGTCACCTTTGAATATAAATCGTGAGGCAATAACATCAGCGTTTATCTTCAAGATCTCTAAGCAGTGCATTCAGTATTACTAATTCAATAGTTGGCAGGGGTAATAAAGGTAGTGAAGAGTGAAGGAGATGGGTGGGGAGGTCGGGAGGAGGTCAAGAAAACGAATCAAACGGCGAATTTCATTATCAATACTCGACCAGAAGAGTACCCAAAGCCGACCATGTTACCATGAACAGCAACTTTATCTGACCGGTACTCTGAGGGAAGCCATAGCACCCTCTCGCCATTGTAAAGGACCCATTGCTCCTCGACATAGATGGACTGCGGAGAGCATGATCGGGTAGGAGCTAGGCCGCAAGAAGGACCTATACGGAACAATCCCCTATCAGCCTGGAGACATGAACCGTCGTCCGTAAACCAGAGACTGAAATGCATTGAGCTATTAGTCACTAGCGTCTGTAGTAGCTTCCCGGAGCCGACGTCCCACAGCTTGACCGTTGCGTCGTCAGGATCCGACGTCAGCATCTTGCCGTCCGGAAAGAAGGTCACGGCCTTTGCGTCGTCAGATACCGACGCCAGCGTCTTGCCGTCCGGAGAGAAGGCCATGGCCCTGACCGAGCCCGAATGGCCTTTGAGCGTCTGCAGCGGCTTCCCGGAGCCGGCATCCCACAACTTGACCCTTGCGTCGTGAGATGCCGACGCCAGCGTCTTGCCGTCCGGAGAGAAGGACACGGCCGAGACAGGGCTAGAATGGCCTTTGAGTGTCTGCAGCGGCTTCCCGGAGCCGGGGTCCCACAGCTTGACCCTTGCGTCGTAAGATGCCGACGCCAGCGTCTTGCCATCCGGAGAGAAGGCCACGGCCGAGACCCGGCCCGAATGGCCTTTGAGCGTCTGCAGCGGCTTCCCGGAGCCGGCCTCCCACAGCTTGACCGTTTCATCGTAAGATGCCGACGCTAGTGTCTTGCCGTCCGGAGAGAAGGACACGGCCGAGACCGGGCCCGAATGGCCTTTGAGCGTCTGCAAGTGTGAACTCCAGTTTTCTGACACCTCGGACACACACGAGATAGAAGTTGGAACTTTATCCGAAAAATTCCTTCTAATAATACTCGTATTCGGACTAAATATTAGACCAGCGGAATATATTTGTAGCGGTGCTATTTCTAGAACCGGTCGGAAATTGAGAACAAAGCGTGTCGCATCATGTATTAACGCTTGCAAACTTGACTCAGCTGCCATCTTGTGTTCTTCCGAACTTCTTTCAATCTTAGGCGTAACGCTAGATTGAAAGGTCGATTTGAGCTTGTCATAAAGACTTTTTAGCTGCTGAACATCTCCTTTTTGCTCATCCTTAGAGGTTAGCTAGTGGTATAGCTAACACGCATTCAAAGCTGCTCACCAAAAATCCCGAATCTAGCATGTGGACCATAACAACTGCATCTGAAACACGGCCTAACAGTGCAAGTGCTTCAAGCCAATGAAGAAAGTGTTTTCGAAGGAAATTTTCAACGTTGTGGTAGTCATCAGTGTCTGCATCGCTTCGTTTGTAATGATGAACCCAGAACCTGCATGCGTACTGAACGTGACGTTGAATATGTCCGTCCACTTCGGTTCTCTCAGCTCGGACATGTCGGCTCCTGGAAGTCAAAGATTGCAAATATCGCGCCGTAAGTGCTGCGACATTACTCGAAGACAGTTCATGTACATCTCACGATGGACCAATTTGTCATCGATGTAAAATTGAAAATTCGAGCATCTCTTTCGGTTAAGGAGGAAGTCACGGAACGATGGATGGAGCAAACGGACAGTACTTGACTCAGCCTCTGGCACATCAAGAACAGAATGCAAATTGGATAAGGTCCGATTCAAAGTCTTGACATCTTTTCCAAGTAGCCTGACAAGGTTTAACACGGATAGAGGCTCTGGAGAAATGATGATCGGTCCAACAACCTGTCGGAATAGCTCGCGCAACCGTAGAGTTTCTTCTTTGTCGTATTCTCCTCGGATAGAGTTGGTGAGAACGGTGGTGTATATCTCGTCAAGCTTGTGTGCTGGTTCAATCGTACGGCTGGCTTCATGTAAGAGAAGAGATAATCGGCCCTGCGCAAGCTGGCCGCCTTGTTCGATGAATCGACAGGCTGTTGCAGCCCAGATGAATAGCCCATCGGAGCTCCGGACTAGAAAAGTGATTGCACTCTCCTCCGACCAGTCAGCCTGAAGCTGATATTTCCGTCTGATAAGTCCGAGCTTGTTCCTCAAGAAAATAGAAATGTCGCGATCCACAATAGAAGGCTCAATACCATGAAGCACAAAGTCTTGGTGTTCGTCTTTATGTATTTGATTAAAGCCGTACCGGATCGGAACCTCAGGTCTGCTCGTCAGAAGCACCCGTAGCTGGACAACCTTTAGCGACCGCACTTCGGCCAGAAGTTGCAGAATGATCTGAATATCATTCTGATCTTCACACTCATCGAGAGCGTCAATGACAAGGGCATATCTCGACCGACAATCCCTGTCGTCGAGGTTCGACAAGGGAACAAGAACGAGGTCCTGCCACTGATCGCGGAGAGACTGAGTTGCGATATCGCTGCGCTCCGATATGGCATCGCAAATTTTGCGCTTTAGACCCGGTATGATATTCGCAAGCTGGAATGCAACGGTTGTAACAAATTTTTCAGCATGTCTAACATCTCCGCCGCCCCGCGAGAAGAAGAAGCTGGCTCCTAGGGCTTTCTTTGCGGAGTAAGTGGCGGCCACTGTTTGGGCTATTGTAGACTTCCCAGTGCCGGCCAAACCACTCAGCCAAAAGATGCTTTGTGAGGTTTCGCCATCGACCCAATTGTATATGGCGTGGAGGAGATCGGTACGGGTTCCTGCGAGACAGGTTGGTTCGTGCTCCCGCTTGCGTGTGCTGAACGGTGCGTCCACGGAAATGGGTAGGGTCTTCTGAAGTAAATCGTTGAGGTCTATGCTTTCAGTTAATCTGTCATCATCGCAAGTTCTAATGCCGAATTACTCACTTGAAGTAGACTCGCTGGGGGCAAAATTTAAAGTTCCACCAAGGTTGATACCAGCAAAGCTCTGGCCTCCATCGGTTGCGGACGTATTGTTGATGGCAAGATGGTGGGGTAAAGGGCCACTAGCCATGAGGGGCTATCACCGCTGTTGTTCTGTGACTTTGAAGTTATTCGGCGATGACCTGTTATTCTCTCTTCCGTTGATATTGGTGTCATGTTCGTTGAGCAAAGTCGTGGTCAAGCTGGCTGGACTAGTGGCGTCAAGATGCTCGGGATTGTTTGCCGCAACCACTCTGTATCGCCTTATGGATAGCTGAAGTGCAGCCATTCGACCCCCAAATAAATAGAGATCTCTTGCCTCACCCATTGGCCATTCTCTCCTCCTGGTTTCAAATAATCAATTCACACTTCTTTTTGACTTTTTCGTTTGAATGTAATGGACCCTCCCAGCATCACCGCCTCAGTAGTGGGAATTGTCGCAAGGTGCCCCTTTTCATGTTTCCAGATCCTGCTTAGTCATCACCATCTCACAAGAATCATCATAGATTGCGTGGGTGATGGGCTGATTGAGCTATCCATCTATCTATCACAATGAAAAGAGCAAGTGTCACATCAAAGGCTATGACCGGGATGAATTCCCTTGCTGGAGTCAACGGGTTATGACTCTGGGGAGGCAAACTCAAACCTTTAGTCAGTGATGAGAGGTAGCGTCCCGGGAATGGACCCTAGACATCCATGAGGGCAGCAGCTCCAGCGTTATATAGTTACAAAGAGAATTACTGGTGGCGGTTGATATTCTACTTCTCGGTGGAAAGCCCCAACTTGATCTGCAAGCACACGGTGCCCAGACGCCATGCCTCCATATTTGAAGTAGAGACGATGAACAAGGCGAAGGCAACATGGATAGAGATAGTCGAATTCAGTTTCTATTTATACAGAGAGTGCAATGAAACAAAAACATATAATGCCGTATCCTCTAGGTTCACTCCCTGCTACAGCCTCTTCGACTGTGGATAATTGGGCGCCTATGGACACCGAGTCCTCCTCTCCTGCACAGTGGTTTCCCACGTCACTGCAGGAGTCTCTCGGGTCTCTTCTCCACCTCAATCACAATGAAGAACTCCAAAGAAAAAAACAATAACGCCGATATATTCGTACAAGCGCGTTATGAATGCAAGAAGAGATCAACTCCGGCCAAACGGATCATGCTGCATGGTGGAGCATGCTACTGATCGTCATCGTTGTGCGGCGGGTAAGGAGAGTTGCTGGCGTACCCTCCCGGATATTGGTACTGGGACTGAGCCCGACCAGCGCCGCCATTCCCGTTGCCGTACATCGGCTGCGACCCTTGTTGGCTGGCTCTGGTGAAACTGTCGAAGCCTTGCTGAGCCGCAGTGGTGTTCGAATGTCCTTGAGGTGGCAGGGGTGGGAGGCCCCAGGAGTAGGCGGAGAATTGCGGAGCCGCGTTACTATCGCTCGCTGTATGGAGCCTTTGGTACGCTGGTGGCAGGGACTGGAAGCCGGGCTGATAGCTAGACAGCGGGTCATTCCTCGGGCGCGGCACATGTCGACCAACTGGCTCCTCATCAACGGATGTCGACCGATTCCGTTTCAGAGTGTTGGGGTAGCTGGTGGAGTCAGCAGGGCCGCCGTTGGTGAAGGGAGATGCAGTCTGCGGAGAACAGCCCGCCAGCGCTGGTTGGGAGGGAGCAGGGCTGTTGCTTGAAGTGGCCCTCTGAGAGCCGCCCCTCTTCCTCCCATTCGTAACGCCGGCGACAGCAGTCCCGGCTTGTAGGATCCACGCTTTCTTCTTGTTTCCTTGCGCGTTCTGCAACTTGGCCTGTTTCCATAATCAGATACTAGTTGCCAATAATAAAGCGCAGAAGCTTACCTTTAGATATCCAATCGGGCCTTGGACAATCAGTGGGATCTTGTACCCGTCCATGATATCCTTGCACGTCGCCTTCATTTCCTAGACATGTGTTAGTGAAGGACAAGAAAACAATCATAATGGCTTACCACCATGGCATTCACGATTTCCTCGAGACGACGGGAACACATAAGGTCTGTGTCCTCCTTGCTCGCCTTGACCAAGTCGTCGGGGATGATGATGCCGTTGCCATTTCCACCACGATGGTACTTAATGACCTCGTCCTAGGACCAGTTAGACTCTCAATCACGCTCCGCAAGATCGTACCCCTCGAAAGGCTGATGGGCATGAAGGAAGTCAAGTATTCATAGTCACTTACGAACAGCTGGAAACAGCGAGCGTGAACATCCTCCACTCGGTATCCAGTCTCGGCAACTTTCTTGTACGTGTGCGAGGATTTCCCATCCTTCGCGTCATCCAAATTGTAGTAAGCCTCGATCAGACTCCGAACATGCTGCAGCATCTGCAGCTCCACGCCGACGCGGTCGTCGGCGTCTGCCTGGACAGACGTGGTCCGCGCCATTGTGTTGTTGAGATGGGCCAGCGCATCTGCCACGGTGGTGTATCTTAGTGGAATTTGTCCGGCTAGGTTCACCGGGCCTGGTGCAGCATTGTTGGGAGGCAACGCGGATGCGGGCCCGCGATTGGGAAGGCCGGTAAGCGAGCTTGCGCTCGCGTTCCCGTTCATGATTTGCATTGGAGGGAAGGGAGGCAGGTGAGAGTTCTGAGAGACCTGGTTGTTGGCGAATGGATTCTGAGGATGGTTTCCTGACATGGCTGTGGGAATATCCGTAGGTCGCAGCGTGTTTTCGTTACTGGTAGGAATAAGAAGTCAGACTGGCTATAACAAGAGTCAGGGGATTGGACAGTATTTGGATAGAGATTATCAGTTAATCAAAGAAGATGTAGAATATTGTAATGGTCGAGATCAAGTCCAATGAAAGATGGGTGCGAAGCGAACGCTGTTGGTATAGAGGAGAAGAAGTCCGTGAAAGTGGAGGAGAGGAGTGAGTTTATATGTGGGGGTAACGGACCTCGACGACACATGCGGGTCCAAGCATGGCTCACCCGATTAACCCCCCATGGATTCACAATGTCAGTATTCCACGCAGCCACCCCTTTTACGGAACAGGACGCCCGTGACGAGCCATCACGTTGTCACTGGTTGACTCCTCCTTATCACGAAGGCGATCAAGCATCCCTGGAGCCGGCCTGCAACGGCCCTATGCATCTCGGGAGATCGTCCGCCGATCCCGCAGAGCCGCGCTTGGCAGGGCTCAAACAAGATCTCTCGTGATAGCAGCAGCAAGGCTTCGACGGCTCACGCCTCACAGCAATCCTTCTCTTGGATATTCCATGCGAACGAAACAGAGCTTGCGGTGAATGGCCTCGGCGACGACCACCCAATGGCGACAGCAGGGGTCACCGTTTGCTGCGCAGCACATGATTTCTGGTTCTATCCTCCGAGCACGGTTCCGATTCTGGTCACTCGAACCGATGAACACGATCGCGCGTCTGCTCCACAACAATGCGGTCGACAAGGCACAACATGGATGCGATGATAGATTCACCAAGCCCGTGGTACCATTAACTCGCCCAGGAGGTTCCTCTTCCTGTTTGGAATACACGGCAGGTGATCGTTGTGGCCCCCAACACGAACCGGTCGACTCTGGGAACTTCCGAATTCGGTCGGGTATATCCGGCAACAACACGATAAGTACATGATATGACTCAAAGGGACAAACAACAAGGAGAGAAACAACCAGGATCGGAATGCAGAAAGCAGAACATGACGTTATACGGTCTTCAACTTCTTCAACTGCCCCCGCACCAAACTGTCCGCCGAGGACGCTCAGACATCGCGGCTGTCATAAGACGATATACGGCTCTCGAGAAATGATTATACGACGACAACTGATCAACTATACCGTTTTACTCAGTGTTCAAAGAACGATTCTCGCGTAACCCTTTAGGGCTATCGCACCGAGGGGTTCCGCAAGCACCAGCACAGCCGCGGCTTCTTCAAAAACATATGAGGACTCAAAAGGGGAAACAAAATCCCACCGACGGCGACAGGTCACGGCCATTATGAAAGGGGTAGCAGCGACACGTTGCCCGAAGACACTTACCACGTTCCGAGCAAGCGGGAGGAGACGCCGAGGCTCTATTCAGTGCCATAGCCGCACCTCTGGACGGGATCGCAATTAATTGACCGACAAGGTCTGCCATTAACATGGTACGCTTGGATGGCAAGAGCCCGCCAGGGGGAGGAGGGACACCATATCCATTGGAAGGGACATCCTTTGCTGAGACAACCCGACCAACTTCTCGAACGCGGTGGACCAGACGGGACTGATCGAGAATTCGGAGGCATGCAAGTTCCGGGAAGGCTCGACCGAAGGTCCAGAAAAATGATAGGTAACATAACCAAACACGGCATCGTCTCGTCTATCAAGAATCACGGCAAACAACAAAGACAATAGCATCTAGCTGGACGGGTCCGGGACGAGACTCATAACGAACTCCCACTGGTCCGCGGACACCTTGCTCACGCTCGGAGCCCTCCTGAGGACTGCGGCTTCCATCTTGGCCAGCGGACCTCCATCCTTCGCGTGGCTTTGCAGTACAGAGAGCGGGACTAGCGCCGGGAATTTTCTAATGAATGAGACTTTGACGCAGAACCATCGGGGTTTCTCCGGATTGGACTTGGGGTCGAAGTAGGGGTCCTCGGGGTCGAATGCGGAGTCTGGAAGAGCGTTAGGTGAGTCGTCGTAGGATTGATTTTGTAGAACAATAGTAAAACTTACCATCGACAGTTGCTTCCTCGACAATCTTGCATATTCCGGCGATGCCAGGGACCTTGATATTCGAGTGGTAGAAAAAGGCAAGTTCCCCTTTCTTCATGCTTTGCATATTGTTGCGGGCTACGAAAGGATTAGCTGACGTCGCAAGATTCACGAATGGCCTACATACCGACATAGTTCCTAACGCCAGTCCATGGCTCCGGTTCGATGCAGTCTTTCAAGTCGTCGATAGAAAATTTAACGTCCTTCCCTTTTTCGATCCGGGTTTCAGGTTCGGCCTTCATCAGCCAATATTTGGGTCGCTCGTCCAGGGCATCGGTGGGCTCTCCGCTCGCCAGATTCGTCTTGCCGGTTACGTTTTTTTCCTGCTCGGTTACTACATCGTCCTTGGTTTTTGCAGATTCGCGCACTCGTTTCTTCGCAAGTTGTTCTTCACTCCCTAGTTGGGTGGTCGCCTCCTTGTCATGGCTCGCTGCTCCGTGCGGCTCTCCTTTTTCGCGGTTGGATCCACGGTTCGTCGTCTTCTTGGGTTTTGCTTTTGCCTTCTGCGCGGATAGAACATCATTCCGTGCTCTTGATGCTGCTCCTTTGGCAACGGGCTGGCCCTCTGCAGCCGTTCCGATTGTCATCTTCCCGATAACCCTCTCGGCGTCTGTAGGAGATGATTTCAGTCGCTCGGAGCGTCGTCGAACTTCACATAGGTCAGTGCTGACTTATCGAGATGTTCAACTCGGTACGAAATGGTAAGACGACTGGAAAAGACTGATCGAAGAATACACAACTTGAAATGAATGAAATATTTCAAGAGAAGGTCCTTAACTGAAGCCAAGGAGAGCAGGGTCAATCGCCCAGCAACGACGAAAAGCATAAGAATCACGGGCCACAATAACCTGACTGAAGTCCGATCAGGCAAGCTTATGACGACGAGCTATATCGACTTGCAGCTGCAAATATCGACAAGCCCGACCACCACAAGGTAAATATAAGTATAGAATGCTGTACAATATATGATCTCTGCTCAAAAGTTTCAAATAGTTCAAAAAAGCCATAGATGAAAATGAGAACCCATAAGGCAAATGATGTATAACCATGTCTCACCTACTGGGCTTGTAAGGAATAACTGGACTTAGATACACTTCTCTCCATGCACATTGAAGAAGGAAAAACTTGTCGGGACTCGATTGTTCTTAGGTCATTATCACCCAAGCCCAACACTCTGGGATCACCGGATTCATTAATGGGAACATGTGAACCTCCTCCTACTCACCTGGTTGGACCTCATTATCACCATCCTGCTTCCTCTTCCGCGATGTCTCTGTCCCAAGCGCCTGGCCATCCTTCGCCGCTCCATGAGGACGGGGCATTGTTGGTCAATGGCTTTCGGATATTATCGAAGGGCGGGAATGTCGAGGAGGTCAAGCGATCGAAAAGGTTCGGTGGCCCAGTCTGGTTCGGAGGTAATTCCGTTGCCAGTCACCAATTCTTGGCTTGTGGGTTTCGGAGATGGGGCTCACGTGGTCCCGTATCGACTTCGAGATTAGGTATCTTGATCCGGATGCGTCGATGATATCGAAGGGTCGTAGTGCTCAAATGCGGCTGATTCGAACAATTGTCAGGATAGGCGGGCCCTCTCGAGTGGAGAGCGCATCTGAAAGTGGTCGGAGGATCAGTCTCGCGGGGAAAAGGTCGTAGAGTGCCCGGCCGTCAAGGAATCGAACATCGATATGAACCCGTGAATGGGATGATGTTCACAATTCACTCCTCGGATTGGTCGACTAGCCAGATCTGTACCGATTTTAGATCTGTTGTGCGCAAGGATCAAGGATTGCACATGGTGCAGGTAACCAAGGAACGGTTGCACGACGCTATGACTGAACAGGAAGCGTATCCGAATATCTCCCGCTGGGATATCAGACTTCAAATATTCGATGAGGAATTGGATGATAATGTGGGCGAGGGGAGAGTAACAGATAGTGGGGATTGGGGGGAAGATGGCCGAAAGAGGTGGAGGTAGAAGTGAGAATCCACAGCCACGGATATTATTAACAACGGGGAGTTGCAACGACATAGATGCATGACTGACATGTCTACCTAGTTGGATCAAGACAAAGGCTCTCTAACTTCTGGAATAGTCCTACACAACGGGCTTTCAGACCGATGCTGGACCCCTATTAGAGCTTACCGCGGTCACATGATGGTTCATACGATCGATCACCATTCCCAAGGACGACGAAGACCCATCACAACTACATATCTAGGGGAAGCTTGGAGTTGCATTGAGCCAGTCTATGGGAGACAACCGTATGGTTTCTTAACAGTTTACCTGTGAAAAGGCACGGTAATGGATATCATGCTGTTCCAACCCATTTGATAGAGCAGAATCCTAGTTGGTCTTCACCATTCAACATGGCAGGATGGGGCCGATCTGGGATGGTGACTGATGTCCACCTTGGTAAGCGGATGAATTGCGGTGACGGTGTCTTTTTCATACGATGGTAAGGAGCTATGGATATGAGCACTCGTCATGAGAACTGCTTGAACTTCGGCTCTTTTTGGATAGTGTGAAAGAATACGAACCTTTCATGGCATGGGAACGGAATCATGGGTTTCTCCTCTGATGTTCAGCTCTCACTGCAGAAACCCATGTGAATTGTCCACAAGCATTGAATCAGCCGGGGGGAGCAAAATTCACATATCCGTGTGATCAGGCGTTAGTCAATGCCAAACCACCACAGCAAACAGGTTGAATACACGCTTGTATTGAACTATTCCGCACGAGACCGTGCTCCTATCATATGCACCTTAAACCCACATTGCCATTCCACTTTTCCATCAAAGGCTTCTATCCACCAACATGCGATACCCGAATCTAGTATCGCAGCTTCTCCCGGCTCAACACGTCGCTGTACTCCTCCAACGGACTCCGGAGGAGCTTGGTCTCCTTCCACAGATTGGGCGTAAGGAAGCCGTAGGTGTTGCTGACGGCCATGAAGGTGGCCTTGAGGGTGTTCTCGAGCGTCTTGGTTGAGCCGGACGACGCGGTGTAGGCGTCCTGGACACCGGCAAGTTGGAGGAAGCGCTTGACGGCGGGGGATGCGACGAGGCCGGTACCGCGGGGCGCGGGGATGAGCTAGATGAATATCAGATCCTGACTTCCCAAAAATAAGTTATAGATTTGTACATACCCTGACGGACACACTGCCACACTTTCCGCTCTCCTTGGTCGGGAGCGAGTGAGGCTCTCCGAGGTTGGTGCCCCAGTAGCCGCGGCGGATGGGGACGACGCTCAGCTTCGCAATGATGATGGCGGCACGGATAGCGGTAGCGACTTCCTTTGAGGTCTTGATTCCGAGACCGACGTGGCCCTCGGCGTCGCCGATGACGACGATGGCCTTGAATCGCGTTCGCTGACCGGCACGGGTTTGCTTCTGGACGGGTTTGATCTGTGGTGATTCGCGTCAGCTTGAGTCCCGCAATTTGACAAAAAAAAAAGTCCATCCATCCATCGCAAATTGCTGCGATGGACCGAGTCTATCCACCAGACTCTCTATCAACAACTCAACCCCAGCCATCCCCAGAACCATCGACAAAGAGAAAACCACTGAAACTCACCTTCATCACCTCATCCTTCAACTTCGGCAGGAACTGATCCACGATCTGATACTCTTTGATCGGCAAGCTGTGCAGATAGATCTCCTCGATGCTCTTGATCTTCTGCGCCTTCACCAACCGGCCCAGCTTCGTCACCGGCTGCCATTCCTTCTCCTCGCTCTTCCCGCCGCGTCGGCCACGGCCGCGTCCACGTCCGCGTCCGCGGTCGCCGCCTCGGCCACGGTCGCCACGGCTACCGAAGCCGCCGCCTCGGGGTGCTGCGTCGGCCATGATGATTGGGGTTGTCGAAGGTGGGTGGGGTGTCGGATGTGTGGGAGGCCTGGGATTGGGAGATGGGTTAGCTGGGGGCAATTGGAGATGGGAAATAATGAATTTGGAGGTCCAAGATGATGATTGGGATATGAGTTGGAAAACGTACCTCGACCGGATCGTGCGAATTGCGGGTGGTTGTGTGGGAGAAACTTGGTGGATTCACGATGTTCGACACGCAGGGAGCGGGTGGAGGTTCTGTGCGAATGCTCGCTTAGGCCGAAATTTGTGGTCACGTGATTTGCAGCTTTAGACCCCTGTCGCTTTCGAGATCTAGATCAATCACGTGATATGTTACCTGTGGCTGTGCAGCATAACCAACCCAACACTGTAGGAACATGGATTTAGCATGATGGAACCTGAACGAGCAATTTGGATGCCCACTCTCCAACGAACATGTCGATCTACGTATTCGATTCCTGAGAAATATATATATTCGTGACAAATAATCGAACCCAGTGGAGGAAAGCAGCTCAATATCCGACCACACAACTTACCAGCACCACCCCCCCCTTTACACCCCTCCTTCCACAATCAACCCTCTACCAATCCATGTTCACATCACCAGGCCGTCTCCAGGCCGTCTCCAGACTCCTTCGAACTCATTGCATTTAGCTTTCGCATTGCTAGCTCCCCTCCCATCGCGCCAACCTAACTGACCAGATCCCGATCCCGTGCGTGTCGAGCGTTGCGGATATCTGCAAACTCCAAATGTGTGTCTAAGTAGGTACCCCCAAAAAGAAACCGTAGATCCCCCCGTGTACCATCCTACGGCCCGTCCCCGGTCCGGATATCGGGCGCTGCCGGACGCGGCTGGTTGCGATTGCCCGGAAAGTCGGGAAGGGGGGTTTGGCCGTGTGCCGTACGCGTCGAGGAGGAGAGTTGGACCAACGCCGGATTTTCGCCGAAAAAGAAGGGTTCAACCGCTCGGGGTTGGGTTGGGGGAAGCATCGAGTGATCTCACCATGGCCGAATCGCCAAGATGTGACGAAATCGGCCCAACGAGAGCCGTGATGGCGATGACTCTACTCGGTGAAAACTGCAAGCTATTAAAGGAGAAAGGACGGAGCAGAGCGCTGAACGGCGGATGATAAAGCTAAAGAATTCCAAGCGATCTCAACCGAGTCGTGCTACCTCCGACATCTTTTTAAGGTAGTGTAGTAAATATTCGTAAAGGAAGTGGTTCGTTGGTGGCGTGTCGGCCGACCGATTGCGTGGCCGTTGCGACGTTGTGGAAGAGTGGAGAAAGGCGAACATGTATAAGTCGATCAGAGGAGATCTCGAATGCTGCCGCATTGCGCGAGGCACAATCGCTCGTCCGCGGTGTTACCCGCGGGAAACATGGCAGAATAGTCCCGATGATCCGAGATACGGTTGCAGAGGTGCGGGGAAAATAAACGCGGATTGTCGCGATTACACGCTTCGTGGGTTGTATTGGGCAGGCTATTCCAGAGTTAGCACCAAATCAAGAGGTTGAAGAGGGAGTGCGTCGCATACCGGACTGTTGAGCATGTTCGCTCGCCGGTTGCGACCTTTTTTAATGTGGCTTTTCAACGCCGAGGAATCGAGCGGCTTGAGCAGCTCGAAGGAGCAAAGCAACGCGTCGTTGACGGACATGACGGCGCCCCAATTATCGAACTCGCCGCAGTACTAGAGCAAATTAGATGGTGGAGCAGGTGGAGAGGTTGGGGGACATACATTTGGTGCGGAGAACACCGTGACGAGAATCCTTTCAGTGAAGAACTCATACCCATCTTCAACCACCATGTGCGCGCGACACACGAGATCGAAATCATGTCGTGCCAGGAACTCCATGATGACCTTCTTCCCAAAACAGTAGCTCACCCCCCGCTCATTCGCCTCCCAATCGTTATCCATGTCCGCAGGATCCGACCACAGCAGATCGTTCAGCAAGCCGTAGTCCGGCACGTCGGTGGGACGGGCGATCTGTCGGATGTCGTCCATGTGCGACAGGCTGGGCGACAGGCCGCCGTGCACGCAGAAGATCTTCCCGGCGACGATGGCGGCGATGGGGAGTGTGTTGAAGGTGTCGACAAAGGCCTTCCAGATCTTCACGTTGCAGCGGCGCTTGCACTCGTCATAGAAGCCGTAGACGCGGGTGACGTTGGCACATTCGTGGTTGCCGCGCAGGAGGAAGAAGTTCTCGGGGAACTTCAGCTTGTAGCAGAGTAATAGCAGGATCGTCTCGAGGCTTTGTTTGCCGCGGTCGACGTAGTCCCCCAGGAATAGGAAGTTGGCTTCCGGAGGGAACCCGCACATCTCGAACATCCGGATCAGATCCGTGTATTGCCCGTGCACGTCGCCGACGATCTTGACCGGGGCCTTCAGCTCGAGCAACGCCGGCTGCGACATGAACACCTCGCGCGCCGCCGCGCAGATGGCGAAGATCTCCGCGTTGCGGAGGCAGACGGTCTTGGTGACCTTCCCGGCATACGCGGCGTCCAGCAGCCGCGAGATCATGTCGTCGAGGTTCAGATCTTTCGCTGCGGACAGCTCCATGGTCGAAGGGGAGCCTTCGTGTTCTTTGTCGGCCTCCGGGGCGCGCGGGATCGGGGAGTCGGATTTTTCGAGGATCGACGGCTTCGGCAGGGCGGTGGTGGCGTGCGGACGGACGCCTTTCGGCGGAGCGTCGGACACGAGTTCAACTTCGCCAGATTTCCGCGCAAGTTCGACGTCGTGGTGTCCGTTGTCTATGGAAGTCGACATGGTTGGGGACGGCGGAGGGAGCGGACCGTCGGCGGCTGCGCGCATCTGGGCGGTGTCCATGGGCTCCGTCTCCGAGGAAACGGAGCTGGGACGACCGGAGCGAGCGCCATTGGATTTGATGCTGGCGGCAGATTTCAACGAGGCGGAATCGGATCGATCGACGGCGGCGGAGCCGATGCTGGAAGAAAGTTCGGCGGTGGATCCGCGAGGGCTATCGGTCTTGTTGACGCCGGGGATCTTGGATCGGAGGGAACTTCGAATGGAGCGAGTGGATTCCTTATCGCTTTTTGCAATGGATGGATAGGAATCAAGCGCCGGGCTTAGCGCATCATCGCCGTTGGAAGACGAAGGTTTGGGGGAGCTGTCGGACCTGCCCCCTTTGGAAGGCTGATTTCCCATGACCAAGGCTCGTATAACCGGTGTTTGTACCCCTTCGGCGATGGACAGCGGGTGTGATATCCGATGGCGTGTCTTCCGATTGTATGTGGTCTCGTCGGCAACAGAGCGCGGAGAATGTATGGGTCAAAGAATGACTGAACGTGAAGAAAGTTGGTTGGGAGGTAGTGCCGGTTGGCCTGTCTCAATCCACAACCACCGTCTCGTTCGGTATTAGGGAGGTCGGAAGAGTCGCGAGAGAAAGAAGAGGCAATGAGACTCGATCGAGGCTTGCGCAGTGGTTTGTCGCGGGCCAGTCCTCAGATAGGCAGTATGGAGCGAGGGATCGGGGGTTGGGAAGCGGTCACGATGATGTCGAGCCAGATTCGGTAGTAGTGAAGCAGCTACTGCGTGCCGTTAAATTCCTTGTGCATCCGAAGACTAAAGCTGTCACGATGTCCAAGCTCGACTCGAAGTCCGGGCGAGGGAATAGAGCGAGTGATGTCCGTATTTACGAGGTTTGGGCAGAAAATGTGTGATAGACCACGGCAACTCGCGGGAGGCGACGGGGAGACCGGGGGGCAGCAAGGCAAGCTGGAGGAGATACTGGAGAATCTACGGGGCTCCAAAAGTGCAGATAATTGGGATGGAAGATGGAAGCCGTCTGGATCGGAGAGGAACTGAGGAGAAGCACTTGATGAGATGGTAACAGTCGAGAGTCGAGTGTTAATGGAGAGAGTTGACTAGGGAAGAAAGTTGATGACAGTTGATCGGATCCTCGTTGATCGGCGACGATGAAGAGTTGCTACGGAGGGAAGAATGCTAGCGGCCTTCTCTATCTGGGGCCAAGACTAAAGGGGAGGGGAAGGGGTTGCTGGCGCTGTTACTGGGTTGTTGGAGTGTTCCGTAGTGATGTGAGGGGCACGCGTCGCCCAATGGACCTCCCTGCGTGCGTATCGGGGGCAATTCCCTTCCCTAACCCCCTCCTTATCTTACTAAGACATGCGACAGATTGAGCCGCGTGGGGGGGGATGTGCAGGTGAAGGTGCAGGCGAAGGGGGGGATTGGCGGGACATTGGGGGCTGGGGGTGATATCCGAAGTCCGAAGCAGCTGAACAGCAAGTCGTTCTTTGAAGTCTCTGATAACACCAGCTCTCCGATATATCCATCGCAATGGAAAATCCTCCGAAATAAGGACGAGGGTTCAAGACGCTTCTGGGTGGGACAGTGGGAGGCCAAGCAGCGCCTAGAACGTGGTGTGCTCCCTCCTGGTCAAGCTACCGCTGGAGGTCATCGTCCTGTTCTCGAATGGTTGGGCCAGACTAGAGAGGAGGATAAGATAATTTGTCCATGTTATCTGACAACGATAACTCGGGATTCCAAGGATGATAATGAATGCATCCAATCCATATCCTCTCCTTCACCGGTGTGAATGCGCCTAGTACAATGGCACATATGTGAAATGGCCAATGTCGGAATGTGGTTTCAAGGAGTTGTCTCTTTATGCATATCTTTCCACCTCGGATGCGAGGATGAACCTGCATAAAGAGTTGAAGACATCGATTGAAGGAAATCCATTTCCCTAAAACATATCACAGCCTTCCCTGCCTTAATTCAATGGATTAACAGCCAAAATGGGCTCCTTGATCAACTCAAGCGGTGGCTTGTGGACCAGGCAGTTAATATAAAGATACGCACCCTGCCAACACAATCGGCAAGTTTTCATCTCCACCTTGATAACCAACAATATACAATATCTTCTACCATTTTTTGGGAGTACTAACCATTGGGTTCTAGAGCGATGTTTCCTACTGTCCTACACATTGTTTGGTCTCTAGCAGAGTCATGGTTCTCAGGGTTCAGACATTCGAGTTATGATTTACGTTAACACTGATTTGCCTCACAACCTGCATGCTTTTTGATCCCCATCTCCCCCAATACAAGAACAGAAGTCTCCTTCTCATCCTTTCCTTCCTCAATTTAGTCACGTTTCCTCTTTCCTCCCCTTACTATATCTCCATCCAAGCATCTCACGCCCCAGCCGCCGCCGCTGGCGCATCCGTCCCGAACTGCGCCGCCGCCTTATCGAACAACGACGTGATCGCCCCCACCGCCCGCCCCGCAAACTGGCTTGCAATGCTCGGCAAGTTCCCAATGATCGCCTCCACGTACTTCGTCGTCCCTGCCTGCTGCGCGTCCAACTGCGCCAGCACCTCGTCCACCCGCCCCGACGCCACGATCACATCCTTCTTCAGCAACAGGTCGCTCAGCGTCTTGTTCGCCGCGCCGGTCAGCGCCTGCGAGCCTTCCGCGAGGGCGAGCGCGCCGGACAGCTCCGTCTTGGGGGAGGCGGCGACCTTGGTGGCGCCGGATTCAAGGGCGGCGACGACGGCTTGGGAAAGGGTGTCCATTTGGTCGAGTTGGGTGGCGACGTTTTCGGCGGTGAGGGCGACGATCGCGACGTCGAGTTCGTTGAGGGCCGCGGTGATGGCTTTGCCGGTGACGGAGATAGTGTCGGGGTCGCGCTTGACGGGGGAGGCAAGGGTGAGACCGAGGACGGCGGAGAGGATGGCGAGGAGCTTCATGGTGGTGGTTGGTGCAGTGGAGCGAGGGACTGGCTCTGTGGGGGAAGGTCAGTTAGGGGTTGATGGAAGGGTGGAGTATCTTTACTTTATAAAGAGCGTGGCGCGGAAGCTGGTATCAGATCAGTGGACGAATGCTGGAGGAGTAGTGTTCGGCAATGATGCGATCATAGGTGAATTTATATACTTGACTCCCCTCAACGCCCCTCTTCTCCGGCGACTTCCCTTCTCCACGATCTCCGGACCCAAACCTGTCTGATCGAGCAGAATCACATGCCCCCCTCGTCTATCTCGTCATTTAGCGCAATCAGCCCTCGCTCACGTCGTCATCTTCCCCAAATTGTCCGAAATATTGGTTCGATATAAGCCATATTGCTCGCCCTAATTGCTTCCAAGAGCGCCCACTCTTAGTCCTCGTGCTTACTATACACTTCGATATCAATCATTGATCAATGCCGAATGTATCTCAAACATCAGACTACTTCGCCCGGCCTTGAGTGCTCGACGTACCCTACTGTTGATGTAATAACAATTCCCCATCCCCTCTTTCCCCAGATGCTAAGCAAAGCTTGCGCCCCTCAAGCTTTGCAAATGCAGCGATCAGCCAATCGAGTGGGGTATATATATTTGGACCTCCCACTACCCCAGATATTGACCTCGAAAAGTCCGCTGCGCCGAAAGGAATCCCTCGCCGAAAGACGTTTCATCTGACAATAGACACCATGGAACAAGCCCTCAGATATCATCAATGTAACTTCGCATTCTCAGGGCACGCTTCCCTCCACAGGACTATTGGAATCGTGGCATCAGCCACCGGAATGATGTGCTAGCCGAATCAAGTAGTAAAGAGCAATGTCGTCGAATCTAACTCGACATGCGCGGAGATCCAATAATCGCGTTCGGGACGCCTTGGCGTTTGTGGTTGATTGACGTCCCAATAGCTACAGATTGCGTAAAGTATTGGGCGCCAATTAGTAGAATATCGATGGCCTGCACCAATGGCAGAGAAAGGGCCGGAGAATTAGCTGAAGGGTCGAAAAGTTATTACCGCGACTGAATAGCGACGTATAGTTGAAGTCCTTCATGCTGAGAGCATATCCAGGATCAGGGACTCTTAGAGCGGAGCACAAACCACGAAAGGCCTAGAACGCGATATACGAATTTCCAGCGCCCTCCGCAAACGAAGGTTTATATTCATGAGCGAATTTTGTATTAGAATACATTGATCGGCGTCCCAATCGCGCCCCCCCCCCCCCTAGCAATAGGGCAAATCCCCGCTAACTAGAAGAGCGATATATACCGACGCCCGGCCCTGCTCTACCCAAGCCCCCCAAGCTCCCCTGAACGATCCGATGCTCATGTGCGATTGATGAAGCCTCATCACGTCTCCACCGAATTTGGGAAAGGTCCCAAATTCCATGCTGCTCACGTGTCGCGTGCGCCCACCGTCCCGATTCCAACCCTCCGACCCCACTCTCTCGAAAAGGAGAGCCGGGCACCATCCGGTCGAACCGCCGCGACCGACCGTCAGCGACTGACCAGCGTTACCGACCGCATATTGCCCTACCGCGGGATCGCAGCTCATCGCGTCATCATCGTGATCTTCAACAAACCGCCGTCAGCCAAACTTGCGTGAAAAATCGCGGACAAACCCTAGAAGCTTCCCACATCCAGCCACGCCTCCACGAACCCCAGCGCCTTCCCCTGCGGACCGCACATGAAGTCCTCAAACTCGCAGTAGCTGAGCCGCCCCGGGCCGCCGCGCTCCGCGACTTCGCGGTCGATTTGGTCGAGGTAGGCGAGGCGCTGAAGGCGGGAATCGTCGGGGGGAGATTCGAGGGTGCGCTTGTAGGAGGAGACGTAGGCATCGTAGGAGGCTTTGGAGACGATGGTGCCTTCGATGGCGTAGAGGGGGTTGGCACTCGTGGGGACGGAGTTGGAGGGGTCGGTGGCGGGTGAGGGTGGGAGTGGGGCGGCGGTGGCAGCGGTGTCGTCAGGGGGATGGATGGTCGTGGTGGGAGGGATAGGAGGGGTCGGATCGTTGGAGGTGTCTGCGGGCGAGGTGCTGGCGACCCAGTTGAGGATGTCACCGCTGGAGTTCGGGCGGAATTGCGGCATGGTAGGATCCACGGCGACGACTTCGGGGGTTTCCCGAGGAGGGAGCTCAACTTCCGTAATCGTGGTTTCTCCTAGATGTGTGTCCTTACTCTTGCCCTTCGATTTTTCACCGGGGCCTGGTTGCTCTGTTGAAGCCTTGTCAGTGGCTTTTGACGGTGACGAAGATCGTGCAGGTGGTTTGGGGCCGTGGGCAGTGCCGTTTTGAAGTGATGTTGTCCCCTCGCTCTTGTCTTGTTCGACACTATTGGGTACCCGGGTTTCAACTCGAACAGGACCATTGGGAGTGCTGGCCTGATCTAAGGATGTTCCTTTATCATCTTCTTTGATTGATGACTTCGATGACTCTCCATTGGTGAGTGTATGTGATAGCACAGCGCACCCATTGCCCGAGTGGGCACCCTCCTCATTACCTGGGATGGCCTCGACCCCGTAGCCCGATTTTTCCAAAAGCTCCTGCAGTGGGGCGTTCAAGATATGTTCCTCCACTTCCAGCACTGCCGACTCGACTTTGCCCTTCCCTTTTTCGTCATTCACTGGCGCCTCATCAGTATCCGGGGCTTCGCTCGGCTCATTTTCGTCCGCCTCGTCATCAAACATGTTCGCCATGAAATCCATCGATTCATCCAGTATCCGCTCCCTACGATTAACGAACTCGTCAATCTCCTTCCGCCACCGCTGCCGTTCTCCAGCCGATCGGGTCATTTCCAGCGCCAAATTCTCCTTACCGAAAAACAAAGGGTTGAGAAGCTCGTTCAACCCCTGTTGGGTCACCTGGTACAGCACGTCTTTGCCAAGGTCCTGCTCCGGTTCGGGGATCTCATAGCCACCCCATCTCTCGCCTAAGGGTCGAGATGACGTCGAGCAATTGGATCGGGTTTCGATTTCCGGATCGTCTCGAAATCGAACTTTCGACGATGAACGGGAATGGGGTGTCATGGGTTGCGAACCTCCGAGGGCGTCTCCTTGAGGGGGCATATTCTGCGCATACAACCGGGTATCATAATCCCGCAAATCCGTTGAATCGTCCTTAGGTTCCCAATGTATGAAGTGGTCGGGTTCCTCCATGCCTTCCTCGACATCCGTATAAAACTCACGACGACGCCAACGTTCTTCTACGATTCGATGTTCCTCCATGACTTCGCGATCAATAGGAAATCTCGCCAGATCAATATCATCCCACTCCCATCCATCGAAAATCGGGTCCTCTAAATCTCGCGAGGCGTAGAGGACAGCCGCACGGTGGTCCGTCTCGATCGTGTCCTCGCGAACGACGGAACTATTTTCATCTTTCTGACTGGGTCGGCCTTGATTCGAGGGGAAATTGATGTCAGTGAAGACCGAGCTGAGAGGTTGACTGCCTCGTATTATTTCCATATTGGCGGCGAGTGAGACATCTTCTTCGCTAACCAATAGGCAATTCTTTGTAACCTCTCGTTGAATGGCGTAGTAGGCACGGAACATGCGGAGGAAATCCCTACGACCGATGAAGCCATCCGAGTCCATGTCGTATCCTCTGAAAATCTTTCGAATCTTGCTCGGTGTGTCCATCTTTTTGTGCAAGGTTTCCAACCCTAGTATGAACTCCTCAAAATCAATCAGTCCATCGCGGTTGGTATCGTAGAAATCGAACAGACGATCGAAAATCAAGTTCGGCCGAGGAGGGTTGACAGAAGTACCAGGAACAAAGGCTTTGTCAAATGCTTCCCGATCGATGGCGGCCATGACCTTGCTCGGATCTGATTTGTGCCTCCGGTTCGCTAGGCATGTAAACTGGTCGTAAAGCGCATCGATCTCGGATCCCTCGTACCACGTCTCCTTCGATAACTTCTTTCGCGCGGCTTTTGGAATTTGTCGTGGCATGAGCTCGGGTTTCCCGGGTAACATGATCGGCAAGCCTTGCCGCGGAGGACTTAGGTAGGGGATAGGAATCTTGACTTTGAAGAAAATGTGGGTTTTGTCATGTACTCCCATCGCCTCGCAATCGGTACAAAGGTCGAAGTCCGCGCAGTTTGCACATCGCCATCGGACGCCCCGGATGGGTTTCACCTCGCAGCTGTTGCACTGGATTCCTCGATGGATGTACCCTTCGTTCTTGGCTTGCTCCTCCGCGATGTAGTACAGCATGCTCTTCAAATTTTGCCCCTCAACTCTCTGTTCTCTTTGCTCCTCTACCGTTGCCGCGTCGTCCGCTGTGTGAAAGGACATCTCCGTGCCTGCCACAGTCTCCCCAGCCGCGTCTGTTTGCCCATCCACCTGGGCCGGGTCACTCGGGAAAGGCGGGAGGCGGTCGATGTTGCGGATGAAGATCTGCATGCAGTGACGCGATTGACTTTGGGTCAGACCATGCGCTCGTATAAAGTTTATGGCTGCATTGTAACGCCCTTCGCTAACGGCCGAGGGCCATTGTAGGACGCGATAGACATGGACCATTCCCCAGGCGGTATAATACAACTCCCATGCATGTGCCAGAGCATCTTCCGTAGGATCCGGTTGCCCAGCATCTCGAAGACTGTCACGGGCAGAGTCCACCAATGCGCGCCATATAGGCGGATTCTCAACACTAAAGTCGACGGTATACTCATGACTTCGGCCGCCTGGAGCGATCAGGAGCTTTGAATTGTCCAGGTACATGAACTCGCCATGTTCAGTGGTGAAGCGGACATTTAACGGCGGTCTTTGTGACGGGGTGGTGACCCAGGATTGATTATTGGGGGGGGTCGGAATGCTGGTTGGTCGGCGGCGGCGATGAACGGCGTTGCTTCGTCGAAGTGGAGCGGAAGGAGGGTGTGCTAATGAGTTGTAGATAGCGTAAAGTCCATAGCTCGCAGCCGCTCCGGTTATTATGTAGATGATGGGTCGGAATCGAGAAAGCGACTCGTTGGAAGTGGCCATGTTGTCCGAGAGTAAGGAGCCTTGGATGCTCGCATGTCGGAAGGTTACCTCATACACATGTTGAGTTTATAGAAGCCAGGATGCGTAGAAACAATGATCGGTCTCAAACAATAGCTAGTCGTTTCTCTCCGCCAGAGGGATTCAGCGAGAGTAGGTTCGTATGGGTTATGTGAGAGTATTGACAGTTTTCATGAAGATTATTTACGAGTTACAACACGAAGTCACGTAGTCAGCAGTCACGACGTCGGCGCAGTTGCGGATCAGGACTGGATCAGGATCGCGCCACAAGGCCACAAGGCCACAAGGCCATATCTCTTCCGCCGTCCATACATGTCCGCCTGTCAGTCTGGTTACTGATATCAGTGGCCTGATTGCTTCCGACTTGCCCTTCTTACCAGCAATTCATTACCATGGTAAGTCTCGAAATTGAGCCGAAGCAATGCAGCCAGCAGCCTCTGCTCATATTATATGAGAACAAATTCCATGCATGTTAATGTATCGTATGAGTAGTAACTAGCCTACCCAAGTTCCACCCAGACTCTAATTTGCCAGTGGTACCTCGTCAAACTCCTTTTTCATAAACACCTTCAACCTCGCCAACCCCTTTTCCAACGTCTCCGTGTCCGCGACAAACCCAATCCTGACATACCCAGGGAACTCATCCCCGAAACACCTCCTTCCCGGAGCGAAGAGCACTCCCGCCTTCTCCAAGATCGCCTCGCACAGTTTCTCCGAGTCGACCGCCTTCCCCTCTCGGTGGAACCTCACAAACGCCGTCGTCCCTGCGACCGGCTTCACCCATTCGCACTCGTCATCAAACTTGATCACGAACCGCTCTAAAATCGCCAGGTTCGTCTTGGCGAGTTGGATGTTTCGGCTAAGAAGGTGGTGGACAGTGTCGTAGCTGAGCGCGAATGCGGCCACTTGCTCGTCTAGTTGACTCACCGATATGGTAGTGTAGTGGCGCGTCCCTGCAATTTTCTCGACTAGTTCTCGGCTGCGGGAGGCGATCCAACCGACTCGTATACCTGCGAGAGCGTAGGCTTTGGACATGGAGCCGGTGGCGATGGCGTTGTCGTAGCCCATTGATAGGATGGATCGGGGGAACTCGGGGTCCATGGGTCCGATGGAATGGAAGGCGGGGCGGTAGACCTCGTCAGATAGGATGATTAGGTTGTGCTCCTGGGCTAAGTCGATGACCTGCTGGAGAAGACTTCGTGGCAATACCGCACCGGTGGGGTTATTTGGGTTACTATCATATGCTCAGCAGGATGTCCCAACCCTTGCCATTGATGACTCACTTCAAAACCAGGAGTTTTGTGTTTTTCTTGATCAGCCCTTTTAGATCTTCGATATCCGGGATCCACTTGGCTTCGGCCTTTGCTTTCCACAGATCGACTTCCGCACCCAGCGACGCGGGAACCGAGTATAGCTGTTGATATGTAGGATAATGGCAGACCACATGGTCCCCGGGCCCAATCAACGAGTAGAAAACCAGGTGATTCGCGGCGATCGCCCCATTCGTGATCAAGATGTTGTCCTCTGGAAGGGGGGTGCTGACTTTCGAGGAGTACAGCTTGGCCAAGTTTGACCGCAACGGCGAGGATCCCCGGATCGCTCCATATGTGAGCTTTTGGTTTCGGTCAATCTCCAATCCGGTTTTGTTCTCGGATAGATCTTGTAGCTCGTTGAGGGATATGGAGGAGCAGCATGTTTCAGCGATGTTGTATTCGCACTTGTTCTCCCACTCGTCCATCCACTAGCAGGTTGGGTCAGTCAATACATATTGAACAGGGGAACTTGCTGTTTGGGTCTCTAGGGATATGAGAGTTCGTCGAATGCACAATATAGCTACTTACATCCTCAATTTGGAAAGGTTCAAGCTGAACCATGATGAGACTGGTACTGCAAGCAACCGGCGGAAATGTGAACAATGAACCCTAAAAGATTCCGACGGAACTCGACTCGACTAGGACAGTGGGACTGAATGATAAGACGACCTGGGATATTCAATGATATTCAATATAGGCCTCTCAGAACCAACCAAAGCAAGATATTCTTTGACGTCCGTTAAGATTTTATAGTCAGTTGCTTATGGACTTTAACAACCGCAATACGCCCTACAGCTTGACATACGTAGTACGCTGTGCAGATGGGTATTTTAAACGTATGATTATGATATTTCCGTTCGCACGCATTTGGAAAATGATAGTAATGTTGACAGTATCAAATACGGATAACTACAGGTTGGAATGTTGTTGAATTCGGGTGGGCCGCTGGCTAGGTTCCTTGTTCGTCTCTCCACCCCAAGTCAAGGCGAGATATCGGGATACCATATCCTACAACGGGTTTTCTTTTCTTAATATGATTTGGTTCTATCGTGAAGTTTGTCTATAATTTCATGTTGTCCATTAAGCCTAAGATGATTCCGATAGACATGCTCATACTTGTCCTTCTGTGGTACGCAACCTGTTGCTGAATTGATACTTCCCCATGCATGCGCGCATCTTGTCTCTGGATAGCTCCTCTGCTATATCGTTCAACTACATATCTCCACTGACCTGGACCTCACTTTCGGTTCATAACGTACATTCATGAGAATGCTCGTCTACAGCACTGCCTGTTCATGACTATCGCACGAGATTCTCCGGGACAGGCAACGACTTGCAGCGAAGACTAGCGATTTTCCTTCTTCCGGTGAAGATTTGGGTCAACTCGCCTCAACATCTTTTCTAATTCTTGGATCAAGGCTATAACGTGGCTCCTGAAAGTGGAGCTCGACTGGCTGCATGACCACTTGTGGTCCAGTCAACTTTCACCGCCATGAAGCTGCGCCGCAGATATCAAAACTCAGGACGGTCATCCTGACAAGAAGAAACGAAACATTCTCGCGGATTCCGATGACCAATGAGGAGAAGAGGAAATGATGCCGTTCTCCTGTTCCATATCGTCAGTGACGACCAAATAGCACCATTGCACATTCCGCTCGATCCGGTAGAGGGGCGGAGAACATGGGCAGCCCAGCCGTTCTTCTACGACTGCGCCACATCGTGACTGGGTGCTACTCATCCAGTTATGCGACCGGAAACCTCTGGTAGGCTGCTGACTCTATGAAGTCGCAGTGACCTGTGGCTGGGTGCAGTATTCAGGCAAAAGATTCTAGGCTTGTTCTCTCCAAGCGGAGGGTTGAGGTGACGAAAAATCGGAGACCTCTCCTCGAGGCTGGTGCAAGTCGGGAACCCCGCGCTATCGCTGCATCGTGCCAATGCCTACTACAGTACTTCAGGCTAGCGGGGCCAATGAATTGGGATTTGGGCCCATTACTATCAGCGGACAATGTTGTTGTCGCAATATTTAAAGGATGAGGCGTTGCACAGGAATGAGGCGCCCAACAGAGGTCGTCTTGTCGAAACCACTGCTTCTTCATCAAGCACTGGAGGCGTTTTTGTCCTTCAAATAGCCTCTCCAGCCAACGAACGTGTGGTTATCAAACCCCTGCGAATGCCATGGCGCATGAACAGAATCCTGATGTGTGAGTGAATTTTCTTAGCTGGTCGAACCAAGAGCCTTAGGGGGCCGAATGGCAGCCTCATGTAGTATCAGCTTCATTTAGCACCAGACTAAGCAGCGCTCATATGCGTGCGAGGCAGCGAGCATGCACTTAAAAAGGATAGCCTTCCCCGCAAATTTCAGAGGAGCTGGGAATTGGTTCAACAAGACAGGAGGAGATATTCTGAAGCTCGTTAGAGACGAGACGATCGCATCAAACATGACGTTTTACAACAAGCACGTTACCCCTAACGCCACTTATAGGTACGAAATGCTGCCGGAAGGAGAGCACCTGCGGGTCCTCAAGCTTGAGCCCGGACGAGGCGACGACCCGCTCCTCTGCCATCTGGAAGTCCTGTCTGTGAAAGACGCCTGGCGCAAGTACGAAGCCATCAGCTACGTCTGGGGAAATCCGGACGACACGCGCTACATTGTGTTGGACGGCCACGAGCTCCCGATCACCACGAGCCTGTATGATGCGCTGAAGCACTTCCGCAACCCCGAGACGGACGTGACGCTCTGGGCGGACTCGGTGTGCATCCAGCAGTCGAATCCGCCGGAGAAGGGTCGTCAGGTGCAATTGATGGGGAAGATCTACGAAGGGGCGGCGAGAGTGCGGGTGTGGCTGGGCGTCGACAAGCGCGGCGTTGCGAAAGAGACCATCGAGTTTATGAAGAGCCAGGTGGACGTTGCGCGGAAGTTGTGCGAAGAGCATGGCGGATTGCGGCAGATCCCAACGCTTCCCGCCGCGGAGAATCCAGTCAGTCAGGATCCGCTGAAGTGGGAGCTTTACAAGGCATTTACTGAGTTGCCTTGGTTCATGCGTGTGTGGGTCATTCAAGAGGTGGGCGTCGCCGTCGACGTCGCCATGTACTGGGGCGGAGCCGAACTGCAGTTCAGCGACCTCATCAACCTCAACGAGTTCATGTTCTACACCCAGCAGCTTTTCTCGGTCTGCCCCATCGCTTGGCAGCTTCACGATGTGTTCGGCGGCGTGTTCAACCACTATCGGAACGCTGAATCGTGGCGCGGACAGCTCATCCCGGACATATCGATCGAAGCGCAACGGCTCTCCCCTTCGTCGAATCTGTTTGGCGTGCTCATCCAAGGGTGTCGTCGCAATGTCACCGACCTTCGGGACTATATCTATGCCTTCCTGGCACATCCGCTTGCCTGGAATGGAGACGAGCAGATTGTGAAAGCAGACTATGAGAAAGAGGTTGAGGACTTGTACTTCGAGGTCTCTGCCAAATTACTGCGATGGCTGGATCCGGGTCGCGCCCTCGCCATGCCCGGCTGCATGGGCCTTCGGCAACCGCCAGACCTCGACAGCGACACCCCCTCCTGGGTTATCCGCTGGGAACTCGGTCTACGCATGTCATCTCTCGGCGTGCCTGGTCACTGGCACTACGCTGGCGGCACGACCTCCAAACCCCAAGTCACCGTCGACGAGCCCTCCAAATCCCTCAAGCTCTCCGGCATCGTCTTCGACCAAGTCTCCTGGGCCTCCGAAGTGATCCGCCGCGAGGACGCCGCCATCGACAGCCTGATCGCGGACCCCGAGCGCACCCCCGCCCTCGACTGGATCTGGGCCGACCTGAAAAACCAACCGTGCCGGTATCCCGAGGACGCGCGCCACGACATGATGACGCTCTCCCTTGTCGCCGGCCGCTATAAACCGGACCAGAAGGCCGAAGACGATATGCCGCACCACCGACGCACCACGCAGAACTACTCGCGCTACATCGAGTTCGCCCGCAAGGCCGCGGCTGCGACCGAGCCGATCCCGGATGAGGGGCAGCTGAGGGCGGATGCGCGAGATTATGAGGACTCGTACGCGTGGACGGCGCCGGAGCGGCGGTTCTTCGTGACGGAGAAGGGGTTCTATGGGATTGGACCGCCGCTGATAAAGCCGGAGGATCACGTCGTCGTCGTTCCGGGGCTCATGGTTCCGTATGTGCTGCGACCGACGAAGGTGGAGGATCAATATAAACTGGTTGGAGTGTGCTATGTGCACGGGGTGATGAGGGGAGAGATTGTCGACGCCAGCGATCCGTTGGGATTGGGTGCTGGAGAAGCGAAGGAGATTGTGATTGTGTAGAGGAAATGATTAGGATGACGCCGATTATGACTTTGCTGGGGCGTGTTTTATAGTATAGCGAGCTACGGATTACGAAAAGAAAATGACAATAGATTGATTTGATTTGGATGGATACATTGGAATTGAAGAGCACCGTTTCTTAGATATTAGGGATAGACATCGTCACGTTCATCTTTCTCGGCCGGAGCGGGAAACCTGAAGCCGAACCCCCGTTTTACCTCCCTGACGATTGGTGGCTGATGCGCATCCCATGAACTCTATCGTATTGACCAAGACCACATGCATGGCCTCTCAGTTACTCCATACTCCGGTTCCTAATATCGAATCTGATAACTAGTCATACTTTACTAGGCTACAGCAACCCTCCTATTTCATATTCTCTCCTGTTGAAGTCTTCCTATACATTTAGTAGCTATACTCCTTAAAGATAGCCGACAGACGAGAGACCTGGTAGTTCTTGGTGAAGTCCGGTCCCCGCAATCCCCGTCATCCATCTCCTTCAGGTACCACCTACAAGTCACGTCCACGAGACACCTTGCCATATGCTGCGAGCTCCAGAGGTTATAATACACATCACACCTGCGACCTACGTCCTTCCGATGCCTACGTGAAGCTCCTCCGACTCGGTATCATCTCCCTAACCTATCCCTTCCCCGACCTCACGATGCGGCGACCACTATCGAGCTCGCTGCTCGCCGCCGCAGCTCTCTCCTTGCTCCCGATAACCTTCGCATCCGCCCAACAAACCTTTGCGAACTTCACTTCGATCGATCTGAGACCCCGGACGGTTTTCGACGATCGACCAGAGGACTGTCCGCCGTGCTTCAACTGCAACTTGGACGACTTCACGTGCCACCAGTTCGCCAACTGCTCCAAGGCGAGCGGCAAATGTATCTGTCCACCAGGGTTTGGTGGCGACGATTGCAGCACTCCGTTGTGTGGCAGCTTGGCGGATAGAGATCGAGCTCCGCGGGCAGGTGATACGTGCGACTGTAATGACGGGTGGACGGGCATAAACTGCAACCTGTGCAAAACGGACAATGCATGTAACGCGTTTATGCCAGAGGGCAAGGGTGGCGTATGCTACCAGCAAGGGTTGATGGTGAAGGAGAACTACCAGATGTGCGATATTACCAACAAGAAGATCCTACAGCAGTTGAAAGGGAAGGTTCCGCAGGCCACCTTCGCCTGCAACGCGGACCGGGAAGAGTGTAACTTTCAGTGTAAGGCCCTTTCTCTGTTGACAGCAATAGACCTCCCACTAACATATGTATAGTTTGGGTGGACGAAAAAGAATCCTTCTATTGCGCATTGGACACGTGCGTTTGGGATGTTCAAATGGAAGCGAATCGCAACACGACCAAATATACCTGCGAGAACATATCGTGCGCCTGCGTACCAGGAAGGATGCTCTGCGGTGAATCGGGATCGGTCGATATCGGCGAATTTCTGGAAGAGTCTATCAAGGGACCGGCATCCTTCGCGACCATCGCCACGGAAGGCGGAAGTAAAGATGATGGAAGCGTGTTCTCCGAACCTGCCATGAACGATCTGATCTCCAGTATTTTCGGCGACAAGAGCATCTTCCTCAGTTGCAATGCCGGTGAATGTCTCTATAAGACCGAAGTCCCCGGCTACGAGCGACCGATCAAGAAGATCAACACACCGCTCATCGCCGGCATCATCGCTGGATGTGCGCTCTTTGTCGTCGCTGTCATCCTCCTGGTGTGGTACCTGACGAGACGATCCGCTGCTCGGGGTGGTTACGGTCCCATCCATATCTCCGATGATGAGGAGGACGAGAACGCCAGGTTGCTTGCGGGTCACAATCCTGCAGGGCTGTATTTCCAGAATGTCTCGTATAGACTGAACGGAAAGCAAATCCTCGCGGGCATTGAAGGTGCGGTGCATCCGGGACAACTCATGGCGATCATGGGGGCTTCTGGTGCAGGCAAAACGACCTTCCTCGACATTCTTGCGAGAAAGAACAAGCGTGGGGTCGTGGACGGTGACATCTACGTCAACGGAGAATTTATCCCGGATGATGAATTCAAGAGCGTTATTGGCTTCGTGGACCAAGAAGATACCATGCTGGCAACGCTGACTGTCCACGAGACCATCCTGGACAGCGCGAAGCTTCGCCTACCAAGGGAGATGAGTGTCCAAGCGAAGGAGCAACGAGTTGAGGATGTTGAAAGGCAGCTAGGGATTTATCACATCCGCAATCAAATTATCGGCTCCGAGGAGGGCCAACGGGGTATCTCAGGAGGTGAGAAGCGTCGGGTGGGCATTGCTTGCGAACTGGTCACCAGTCCCAGCATCCTTTTCCTCGATGAGCCAACTTCTGGACTTGATGCATACAATGCCTTCAATGTTGTGGAATGTCTGGTCAATCTGGTCAGGAATTATAACCGAACCGTCGTCTTTACCATCCATCAACCACGGTCCAACATCGTGGCCCTCTTCGATCAACTCGTCCTCCTCGCCCGAGGCCGCATGGTCTACTCTGGCCCCCTCCCCAGCTGTCAATCGTACTTCGACAGCCTCGGCTTCAGTTGTCCCCCGGGCTTCAACATCGCCGATTACCTCGTCGACCTCACCATGCACGCTGGAACGCCCCATACCCCAATCGACGAAGATTCCTCCCTCTTCGCCGCACCGTTGGGCCTGCGCACCTCCGCCAGCAGTGCCATCGCCGTCAAATCCATCCCGAGCGTCTCCAATCTCTCCAACCACGACGATCCCTCGCCCGCCAGCCCCTCCGAAGAGCGCCGATCACTCCTCCGCCCCTCCGAAGAGCGCCAATCTCTCCTCCGTCCCAAAGGCAAGCGCCGCACCTCCATCCGCGCCCTCCAAGAACGCCAGCTCTTCACCCGCAAGAAACAGCGAGCCGACGACGTCGCGAGCACCCCGCGCACCGACGACGAAGGATCCATGGCCGATCCGAACGAGGAACCCCAGCAATGGCTCCGCCTATCCAAACAGCATGGCCTTCCGCCCCCGCAGATCCTCGATGATCCAGACCACCTTCCACCCCCGGCGAGCGGCGGCACCGGCACGAACCTCGACATGCTAGTCGCCAGCTTCACGTCGTCCGACGTCGCCGCGGCGCTGCACGAGGACATCTACGCGGCGATCGACTCCGCCACCGCGGCGAACACGCCTACCGCGGACGGCGCGCTCACGCCCAATGGCAGCGGGCTCGGCTACGCCAAAATCAAGGGGTTCCGCAAGGTCGGGTATCTAGGTCAGACGGCGATCCTGTCTGTGCGCACGTGGCGCAACCTCTACCGCAACCCGATGCTGATGCTCACGCACTACGCCATAGCCATCGTGCTGGCCGTGTTCCTCGGGTTCCTCTTCTACGGGCTCACCGACGACATCAAAGGGTTCCAAAACCGGCTCGGGCTGTTCTTCTTCCTGCTTGCGCTCTTCGGGTTCAGCACGCTGACGACGCTCACCGTCTTCCACCCGGAGCGGCTGCTCTTCGTCCGCGAGCGCGCCAAGGGGTACTACTACCCGATCTCGTACTTCACCGCCAAGGTCATCTTCGACATCGTGCCGCTGCGACTGATCCCGCCGCTGATCATGGGCGCCATCGTGTATCCGATGACGGGCCTGGTGCCGCAGTGGGCCGAGTTCTTGCGGTTCATCTTGTTCCTCGTGCTGTTCAACCTCGCCGCCGCGGCCATGTGTCTGTTCATCGGCGTCATCATCCACAATCCGGGCGTGGCGAACTTGATCGGGAGCTTGGTGATGTTGTTTAGTTTATTGTTTGGTGGATTTTTGCTGAATCATGAGACGATCCCGGGGGCCTTGCGGTGGTTGCAATCCGTAAGTTCTCCCACTTCATACTTACACATTTTCGAGTCTAACTCTATCTCTAGCTCTCGATATTCCACTATGGCTTCGAAGGACTCATCGTCAACGAAGTCGTCACGCTCAGCCTCGTCGATCATAAATATGGTCTAGACATCGAAGTGCCAGGCGCGGCCATCCTCAGCTCCTTTGGATTCAACACCCAGGCACTCTGGGACGATTGTATTGGCTTGGCCGTAATATGTGGGGCGTTCATCGTCGTCACGTATCTGGCCATGCATGTGATGCTGATCGAGAAGAGATAATCGGATGATCGTTTGAGCATGCAGATGTCTGGACGTGTTGGTTTTGGATAGACTACATCGCGAGCTAGGACCGAGGCGGTCATTGTATATATATATACCTAGATCTTGCTCGTGCTGGATGTACCGGCTTTTTTGGTCCAGTTCACTTCAAATACATGATTACACAGCTTCAATGCTACCGTATTGCATTCATAAACAAACATCCTGCTTAAACTGCTAAGGGAACAAACTGCGCAAAAACCCAACATATCTCGCTCAACCCGCTCCTACGCATCATCTAAGAAGAGAATCGTTAAAATCCGTCAAGCCCACCATCACCTACATCTTCTTATCCAACTTCTTCAAAAACCGGCCCACCCCTTTTTCCACCCGCCCAAACCCCTGCTCCAGCCTCCCCGTCGCTGCCGGCTGTCCTGGCCCTGGCTTCGCCGGTTGTCCCGCCGCGAGCTGCGCGTACCCACTGTGTCCGTCCCCCGCCATATCTGCCTCGGTCGGCCGGTAGAGCTGCTGATGCACCATGCCCGGCTGGGTAGCATAGCCTGGCGCTGTAGGTTGTTGCTGTGGTTGCTGCTGCTGGGGAATATAGCCTGGGGAGAAGGGTTGAGGAGGCTGTTGGGGTGCGTAGCCTGCTGGGGTGGGGGGAGCGGGGGCGGGGGCGGGGGTGTAGTTGGCGTATTGTGAGGCGGGAGGTTGGGGTTGAGCGGGAGGGGAGGTGGGTTGGGAGGCGTAGAGGTGGGCATTTGGGTCGACGACGGGTTGTTGCGGTGGGGGAGCGAAGGAGAGGGAGGTGGGTGGGGTTGGTTGGGGAGGGGTGGGGGTGCCGAAGCTGCCGGCGGTGTTGGTTCGCTGAACGCCGATCGCGGAGGGCGGGCCGGGTATGTATGGTTGTTGGGGGTATCCTCCAGGCTGCGGGGCGGGGCCAGCGCCGTGCTCCGTGATTGCAGCGGCCACCAGGCCAGTGCCAGTCTCCGCATCTGGAGGCGGGGGGGTCTTCTCGCGGTGTGCAATAGGCTCAGGAGCAGCTGGTGCGGCGGGATTGTATGCCATGGGAGTATAGTTCGGCGTGGCGCTATCTACTGCAGGAGTTGTTGCAGGGCTCACTGGAGTTGCTGCAGGTGCAGGCGCAGGGGCAGGGACGGGCGTCACAGGCATAGGGCTGGAATGCGTCTGCGTCGTGCTGACATCTCCACTGGGTTGGAATGGCTTCGTCACCGCTAACTTCTCCAGATTTTGGACAACCGGGCTCATGGTATCCTGGTGTTCGGGATGGATGGGGGCCGGCGCATCTTTTAGGACCAGTTGATGCTCTTGGAGGACCCTCTTAAGGGAATCCAAAAACAGCGTAGCATCTTCGGTGGTCCAGAAATAGATGTCCAAGGTGTGGATCTTATACATGTACTTATTTTCGTTGCGTAAGTCATACGTGGGAAGATGCCATTGCGAGAGATCTTGCTGGGGACTAAGCGACGGCCTGCCATTCGGAGTCGGACGCCCATGGACAGTGATCGTGAACAGATTGGGGTGTTTGTACGAGTACTCGATATGGGACGTGTCAAAATCTGATCCGTTTTAGCCTCCAGATCTTGATAGAACCACATTGTGCATCTTACACCCTTGAAATGCGTCTTGATCCGGAGTGCCCGCATGGTTTGCTATCTCAACTCGACCCCGCCGTTGGAGAGCGTCATGGTACAAGTATACGTAGGAGGACCGGTCGAAACGGTGCTGAAGGGGCTTGGAGGATGGAGCATTGAAATAGTAATGGATGTCTGCGAATCTATGCACAGTCAGGGCCAGCTTCAAACACGGGTTCCAGGCGTGGGCGCTTACAATGTGAGTAGCGATACTTCGCCCTGAAGGAGTGGCATATTGAGAGCGCTGTCAGCAGAACTACTGGCGAACGACTCGCGGCTGTGATAACAACAAGGCAAAGACTTCCTAGAACGCTCGACAGCAAAGACTACAAACTTCAAGCTTCAACAGCAGGACGAGACAGCAAGCGGTATTTACTCGAGATATATTTAGGATCAGCGGCGCCTCGTCATGAATCCGCCAAGCTGCGAAGGGTTAGTCAGCGCTTGCGGAGATGACAGCCCACCAATCACAGCGTGACCCAAGTATTCGGGATTCTGGGGTCTTATTGCCTTGAAGCCTCAGACATACACTGCACAAGTAGTGGAGCCTCGGACATTAAGAAGTTGGGAGGTTGTCGCGCCTCAGGCAATGAGGCACCACATCAACCTCGAAATCTTTCCCAAGCTCCATCAATTCTATCCACTATCATGCAATTCCACAACCAGTCCATCCTTTACTCCTACGTCGCATTCCGATCCGCCATTGCATTCATGTGCAGAACCGATTAAAAGACTATTCACACAACCAGTCCATCGTGATCCAAGCCGTAGCGACCGAACCATCAATCTCGCCCCATTGAGGGCTTCACCTCCACCTCGTCCATCCTCGACAGCCCCCATCTCCACACTATGTCCCTCGTCAACCTCGCCCACGTCTGCTCCCACCTCCAAAATGCCTCCAAAGCCCGCCTCGGCCTCACCTCAATACCGATGTCGAAGCTCCATCTGAAACTCTGCCTGGCACTCCAACACCAAGGCATGGTGTCATCAGTCGACGTCGCCGGCACCAATCCCCCCGTCTCCCCCCAGTGGATGAACCCCGACCACGACGTCCTGGGCCACCAGACCGCCAACCCGACCACTCTGCAACTCCAGCCCTGGCGAGCGTATCCCGACCCCGCGGCGGCAAGCGAGCCGGCGCAGTTTAAGTATGAGGTGCCGGAGAATCCGGCGCAGCGGAGGATATGGCTAGGGTTGAAGTACTGGAGTAACCGGCCGGTACTGTCACAGATGCACCTGATCAGCAAACCATCGCGGCGGTTGTCGATGGGGTGGAAGGAGATTGGGATCTTGACGAGAGGGTTGCGGCAGGGGTATGTGAAGGGCGTGCAGACGCCGGGGGAGCTGATATTCGTGGGGACGGATATTGGGATTATGGAGGCGAGGGAATGTGTGGAGCGGAAGGTGGGAGGATTGCTGCTCTGTAGGGCATCATGATCCGTTTGCTTGCGGAATGCATTGCGGGGATGCGAACGTCCCTCTGTATCATATAATTGTATACTTTGCACCTTGCGGAGCTTGGGCAGATTGAAGGGTTGGTACATCAGGCCAGACGATGGCGCAGAGCAGTCCGTCTGGTGTCACTCACCTCGATCCGATCTCAAATCAACAAGATCTTATGAAACTTTATTCCTGCCTTCTACGTCCGCTTGCCGCTTTTGTTCCTCTTTCTCTCCATTCCTCTTCGCTTCTCTATCTAACTCCTTCCGTCTCCATGATCCGCCCCATGTCTTGACAATCAATAGCGCCGGCACGCACGCGAACCAAATCACCCCAAGGACCGTGCTCGTCCACCCGATTCCCATCGCCTGGTGCATCGGCACGACCACCGCCGACGCAACAGCGCCCAAGCTGCATCGGACGAGGTTATTCGCCGCGGTGGCCGTGGCCGGCTTCTTCGGGAAGAGGTCCACCGTGAGGATATTGATGCAGTTAGCGCCAGCCGAGATGCAGTACCCCAAAATAAACAAAATCACAATCGTGGCGGCGACGTGGACTTCCTGATCAAGAACCCAGCCCAGGGCAATGACGCTGATGGAGCCCATGCAAAACGCGGGAATAGCGACCTCCAGCCTCACGGCTTCTAAGGGGAAGTCGCGCGTGTTCTGATGGCGGTTCTTCGCGAGCGGCACGCCGAGTTGGCGGGCGTGACGGCGGTAATTCCAGTCGAGAATACGGCCGTTGGTGGCGGCACAGATGATTCCGGCGGCACCTACTGGGATATACAGTAGGGACACTTGGATGGTGTTGAAGCCATACGCAGCGTGGGCGACGGATGGCAGGAAGCTAGCCACACCGTAGTAGCACGCCATGAGCAATCCGTTGGCAATGAGGAGGATGGAGGCTTCTTTGTTGCGGAGGACCATGAGGGTCTTCAGAGGGTTGGGGAAGCGCATCTTGCGGGCAGGCGGCTGATAGTGCTGTTGCTCGTCCTGATCATCTCCTTTCCGACGAAGCCTCCTTTGCTTCCACCAGGCATAGAGGGATACATTCAACGCCGGCGGCGGTATCGATCCGTTTCCAACGAGTTTCCGGTTGGTTTCAGGGAAGAAGAAAAGCAGCGGCACCGCAACGATGGCTGCCGTGATGAACAAGAACCAGAAAACCGAGTGCCACCCAAGATATTGTGACAGGAGGCCACCGATGACAGGACCCAGAGTTGGTCCAACCATTGGACCAATGGTCGAATAGGCAACATAAGACCCTCGTTCTGCCGACGTGACTATGTCCGCGGCGACCGCATATGACAACGCGATGGTGCCGCTGCTTCCCGCGCTCTGGAGACAGCGGAGAACCAACAGTGCAGCATAGTTGTTTTGGAGCGCCAGTGCTATATTAGCTGTCATAAACACGATAAAGCAGATCATATACGCGGGTCTACGGCCCGCATCGTCAGAAAACGTGCCCACGAAGGTCGGCGCTAACCCTTGGAGGATCTGCCATATTCCAAGTCAGTCATTGTTCCTAGCGGATCATATAGGAACTACAAGGCTTACAAGATATGTCGTGACGGTAAGGTTGACCAAGCTCTCCGATACGCCTAGATCCTTCGCGATGTCGTTCAACGCAGGGAAATAGATCGATCCTGATGTCGGGGAGAAGAATGCCACGATTGAAGCCGTGACAATGATCAGCCGTCTCTCGGTAACTGTGAAGGACGAGTACGGTTCAGACGCGACGAGATTGAGGTCCGGAGCATCGTACGCTTGGACAGAGTCTTGTGGCGACTTCTCACCCGACTTCTCACCCGACTTCTCACCCGAATTCTCACCAGCGCAATTGTCGATAGCATTGCTATCGTCGTTGCTCCCAGATTCTGCCATTGAACACAATGGAATAAAAGACGTTGGCTCACATCCATCATAAAAGATAGCGCTTGGCGATGCTTATTATACTTACTTACCTATTCGAGCTTACAACGCGATCGGCACCATTTTGCCGACGCCTGCATTGGATCCGCTTTTATGGCTCGGTACACATGTTCAATCCTGCGTTCGTATAGGCTGGTATCCTGCCTTTCGGCTTAAATGACCCTTCGATCATTCTTCTGGCGTTCGGGTACGGTACATCGGCGATGAGAATGCGGAGAGGCGGCGATTCAATTGCAGAAGATAGTGCGCGTAGTTCTGAGGAGAGTCCGCAAGTGCCTCTCAGGGGGTCTTCACGTGTCTAATAATGCCGCAAAGCCGCGACGCCCGCGGCGCACAAAAGGGACTAGTAGTCATGATAGGCTCAGCAGTTCAAACCACGAAGCAACGTTAGCCGCAATGGACGGTCCCATAGGTGCGGTGGAATTACTCGAAAGTCAAACCTGGACATTCAGAATGATGCATCAGAGTAAATTACAACCAAATTAAATACGGAGTACGGAGGTCCATTTCAAAAGTTATTGCTCGCCAAGAAAAGGGTTTGATTATATAAGCCGTTCGAAAGCCGATAGCACGGGCAGTAGGGTGCCTAGCCAACGGGCGGGTACTACCCGCGGTAAATCGAATGCTCGGCGCCCTTGCCTCGAATTAGGCTCTATAAGACCTGAATTAAATGCTCAGTTGATAGGCAGTCCAGTGCCCGTGGCATAGGCTCTCGAAACTGCTTATATAATCACGCCACTTCCTTGGCGGGCAATAACTTTTGAAATGGACCTCCGTATGTAGTACGGAATATGGAATATTTTATTGGTTGAACGCCAAAATATTTGAAACATTTCGCTGGACAACTATTCCACAAGAACATGACATTCGTCAGCATGACGCGGCTGATGGAAACCATATTTACACTCTGATGGAGACGGGAGAAAGAAGAGGTGGACAGAGGAAACAAGAGCTACCGGCATTGGTGTTAGTCGACAGTTATACATCCACTGGTCTCCGTGCAATGTGGCGTTAAAGGAAATGTAATCCCAAAAGCAGGGTACTATTAAAATCGGGAATCAATCATCAATGAAAGCAAGTCGAGTAAGAGATAGGATGTGGAAGCCGCTTCAATAGACATGCGATTTGTCATTATGGTATCTCTATGGCAGGTCCAGTGTTCCACCCATCGAACTCCAGGCTTGTTCCCTCAAGCAGTCACCATGGACTTCATGTATTGGTTTCGTGACTGATGGCAGCCTCCACACTCTGCAGTAGAGATGTCCGATTTTGCCGTTCCCCGCTTGCCTGACGCCCTCTGCATATTTTTCCCGTTCGCAGAACTACCGTCCGGCTGATTGTCATCGTGAGTCGACTCCGTGACAACCGAGCTCTCGGTTCCGGGAACTGAATCATTGTGGGATGCGTTGACGTAGGGGGTTATCGCAGTAGTTTGGTCCTCAGTACTACGACCACACAGTTTCATGAAATAATTCCACGCATCCTGGAGATTAGTTAAAGATTTGATGTTCAAGGTATGCCACTTCCGGAAAAGAAGATGAGCGTTCGCAGTGTAGGTATTGGCTTTCGCGAGGCTAGTAGATAGTTTCGAGACATCAGCATTCCCGTTTGAGGAACCGGCGTACACTTTCGATAGAGCGGCATATGCTTTCAAGACTCTTGCACACCGTTTTGAGATTTCAGCATGCGATTTCGAGACTCCCACACACAGTTTCGAGATCTCAACACACACATCTGCGACGATTACAGTGTCCCAGTCGTCGACCCCACAAACGATTTTGAGTAGCTAGCCGGCGCCTTCGAAGCATCCATATAGGCTTTCGAGTCATTGGCAGCAGCATTCGAGGCTTCAGCATACGCTTCTGAGACACGCGCAGCTGCTTCGGCCACAGTGGCAGCTTTCGAGGTATCATGGGCGAGGATAGTAGCTGTAACTTCGGCGGTGGGTGAGTCTAGACATTTACATGCGGCCTTGAGCCTAGACTCTACAGATCTGGAGGCAAGGCTAGGACCATGGGGTGCAGGCTTCTGAATTCGTGATGTCAGACAATGAAGCAGGTATGAGATGAAAATGTGGCCAACTATATACTTCTAGGAAATATAAGGCTCACCTGTGCAGATTGGGCATCCCCCGTGACATTGGCTAAACGCTCATTATTGCCTTTGACCAGATTCACCATGCCGTTCAGCTTTGTGAAGAGGCTCTGAATAACGGCAGCAGGACTGACTGGGGTAAATTTCACTTGAGCTCCACGTTCCACATAACCGGACTCTCCAACCCCGTCTCGGGAGGTGGGAATGCACGCGATGGTCGGAGGTTTGATCTCGCTCAATGTAGGAGGCTTATCAGCCCTGTCCGATAGCAAACTGTCAACTCAAATGGTGTTGTTTCAGTATGAAAGCAGAACCGGGAAGCTGGAACTTGACTGAGAATTGACGGAGACTGAGAAGATTAGCAAATCAGACTTGTATGGAACTGACGTGAAACGAAAACGCCGAGAAAGCGGCCACAATAAAGCGACCACGAGAATATGATCACTTCATTCTTTCTCTAAGTCAACATCACTGATTTGGACTGAGGAATGAATTCATGAGGTTCAAGGCATTTCAACTGCGGACCGAATACCGGATAGGAGACTCATGACAATCTTATTCGGCACGAATTCCATATGCGTCCGCGCATGTTGGCATATATCGAAATTTGACGGCCTAGAAGTGCGCCATCTGCTCGAGTGCAACAAAAGGCAACACTTGTCTGCTGTGCACGCGATCTAGTCATTCAGTCTCATCTCCCAAGAACTTTAGCAAAAGCAAGGATGCAGATTTGGTCGCCTGGATCTTGGTCTAATCTAAGATAGCTTGGTTACTAGCCAAAGAAAACTTCTTCCGTGGTGCAATGGAACCAGGCCATCGAATCAGGCCCTCCGGAACAGACATTCGCGCACGTGTGGCCTCTGCCGAGGAGTAAAGGATATCTCAGCACAGTAGCCCGACCAGAATGACATGATGTTCTTATGCTGTGCTGTGTACGGTGCAACCAGCCAGGACTAATCACTGGGCCCGGATCTCTCCAGGAGCTTTCTGCATGGAGAGAAGGGTACAGTGAGCAGGCCAATCTGACACGATGCAACAACGCAAGTTAGCTGCAAGCAGCCTGCAAGTGCTCGTATACGGTATGTATGGACGATTGAGGATTTCCGTAGCCAATGAAGGGGGTTGGGAGCGAACACCTGGACGCATCATATCGATCACCTGGAAGCAGCCTTGCATTATCTGGTCTCCGTGGCCTTGTGTCACGGAACGATCTTGACTGGAATGCAGGAACTAAGAAAGAGCTGGATGCGACTTCCAGGGTCATGAAATCACACGATATGAAGACCGCTAAAAATGCACGACGGATCCCCATCCGGCGATGATCCGGCGATGATGGTCCTAGTGAGGATATACAGATATATCACCTGACGATGCCTCCGTAGCTGAGAGAATATCTTCACCGCTGCTCGACACTCCGGTCACATCGATTCGCTATCTCAAGCGGAACCTGCTCTGAGACAGTGACGCAATGTAACCGTGGCTTCGAATATTTCGAGGAAGTAGAATATACTGAAAGGCCGGACTGGACCGGCGCTCAGAAGCGGCATATCAGGACGACACACGACAGAGTTTAGGTACTTGGCTCCTTGCCTACTTCGACCTAAGGAGGGAAGTTTGTCGGAGATTTGCGGTTCTGGCCTGGAGCTCCCCCCTATCGCGTAGCACGGGTTCAACTCCGCGCGAGAAGATTGAGATGCAACGTCCATTGCATTAATTACGCATTGAAACTGAGCGAAGAAACACAAGCAGTCAATTGGACATGGCGTTTGATGAATTGAAAGGAGGTAAGTTGGAAGAGTGATGCTCGGACGCATCATCAGACGCATCGGATCGGGCGCGTAGGAACTATCTCCGGCTAACCACAATCCCTTATTGGTGCCTCGATATCAAGGCCTCCAACCAGCCTGGTGGATAATACTTTTGTTATTTTCGGTATTGAATATATGTCATCGATTTTCAGTTGGTAAGTATTATACTTTGTGTTCTAAATTGTCCTTGATAGCACTATTATCACAATTGCGGATTGGCGATACTACTTTAATCCTAAAGGGGACCCCGCCAATCCCTTTCCAAGTTTAGCATCGTACGTAGCTAATATGCAATATAATCCCTTTCGTCTGTAATCCATTTACAGTTCACACCGCTTTCTTTACCATTCGATGGTATCATTTAACCTCATTCGGATCAACCCCATTTCTCATCCGAACGGGGCGCTGGGACCCTACTAAATCCCAACTAAATAAGCATCTCCTAACTTTCGCATCCCTTCCGCCATGCGAAACCTTCCCTTGATGCAAGTCATCCGTGCTAAAAAAGTAGCAGACGGAAGGACTTTCCATCATACGGCTAGAATTATGGGATCAACAGCTATGGTCTTTGTAGATTTCGGCGTCTGGAAAGTCCGCATCACTCCATAAAAGTCGTCGGACTCCTTGAATCAGACCTGAGCCGTGTGCCAAACCGAAACTAAGAGCATCTATGGAGTACTGGAGCCCTTACTCACTGACTTTTTCTTGAATTCATCGACGCGATTCGATATCACCTTGTCTTTACACTCAACACGGTCCCTATCGATCTAACTGTCGGACAGTAGTGATAACGTGTGGAGTCGCTTATTTCGGTTTCTCTTTGTCTGCTGAAAACCAAACTACGAGGCGTCTTGTGTGTAATTCGGTCATCATTGCATAACGCCTTATAAACCGCTAGGAATTACCTCCGGATTTCCACATGAAGACGAGCAAGCATATTTGTTTCCTATCAGATGTTGCATACCATCCTGAACTTCATCGGCCCTGGTCCGCTAGATGCGAGCCGGAAGCCAATCATAAAGTTTCGGACGAAAATTCCATCTCCGTCTGTCGGACATGAACAGCTCCTTGGAGTGAAATAGACGTTCTGATCCTCTTTGCATCGTCCAAGTCTCTTCGCCTTCTATTTTCCCCTGCCAACTTCTTACTATCCGGCGTTGCTCCCTTCATTCTGTGCTGCCCATGTCAGCCTTCGCGCCAGGGCTAGCGATATCGGTTCGCACCCTCCCACCACTGCGTCCGGCCGGTCCAAGGGAGACCCCTAGTCCCTCTGCGGCGGTGTATAGGTACCTCCCGGTCTCGAACAATATCATCCGGCGGAAAAGAGAGACGACGACATCCGCCTGTGAAGCATGTCGAAAGCGAAAATCCAAGGTTCGGCACTCTAGACGCCGGTCCGATCGGCTCCGTAACATCTAACGTCCTCTTGCAGTGTAATGCGCAAAGACCACGATGTACGCGCTGCACGGCGCTCGATACCACTTGCGAGTATCAGGCAAATGCAGCTGAGACGCATGCGCAGGCATTGCGGCGAAAGTTCAGCGACTTGAAGGAGACGAAGACGGCATACGAGGAGATCTACGAACTGCTGCAGAATCGGCCACCATCCGAAGCGCAGAACATCTACCTGCGGATTCGGCAGGGCTCCAAGGCGGAAGAGATCTTACACGATATTCATAACAGCGACCTCTTGCTCCGACTCTCCTCGAATGCCCGAGGCGGAGATGTGACGACTAGCACCGGCTCGAACTGTATGCTACCGGCGCATGTTTCTTTCCTGTCACAGCAATGAACTGATCTTCCTAGTGATGAGAACTCCAAAGCAGTGGGATAGGCTAGCTCGAGAACCCACCCCAAGCTTCGACCATGAGTCAACCTCTCCGTCGCCAGATTCTCCGTAAGGTTCCGCGGGCAGAGACAGTTTCTCTTTAGGACCGATATGTGAGTAGGAGAGCGATGAGAGGAGGTTTCACGGCGTTTTAGGATTATTTCACGCAAGAGTATTAGAATATTATATTCTAGGAAATCAGGATATCGAACATTCCTCAGCGGATATCGTTTCGAATGGCAGAGTATTTAGCTTCTGGCCAAAACAAAAGCCATCGACCAGCTCGACCACTCTAGGCGAAAGTAATTCAGATACCTGTAGATAGTGTATTTTGACTACGACCCGATAATGTGACTTTTATCATGAATTGATATCGGCCTGGACTTGCTGGACCCTTCTTCACCCGACTCGCCAAACCATCCGAAGTGGGGTACTTCCGTGGAATGGCGACGTCGTATTGGCGCATCACCAACGGCAAGCATCAAATCTGCTTCATCTGAATCACCTCCGATCTCCGACCTGGAGTACGGAATTCTAACAATTTACTTGCCTTGCTGCTCCTCCGATAAATTATAAACCGTTGGCACTTTTGTGTTTCTCGTCTCATTTCCCTGAAACCTACTCCCTGCGAGGATATAACTTTGCGGTTCTCAGCCTGCCGTCAACGGTCCCGCAACGACTCATTAGAGAAGACCTTTGGGCGGCCTTGCAGATGTCCACCGAGAAACCAAAAGGGCCCTGTAGTGGCAATGACTGCGATAAAGAAGCCGAGGACCTTCAGTGTCCGAAATGCCAGAGCCTAGGAATCGAAAGCTATTTCTGCACCCAGGAATGTTTCAAAAGAAACTGGGTACGTTCGCCACCACGATGCAGAGCGGATCAAGACTGATATCAGTGTTAGGGCACACACAAGGCGGTCCATAAGAGCAAAAGTCTGTCGTTCAAAGATATCTTCGCCCCTAAAGTCGTGTCTAAACCCGACCCAATCACAGGCTTCTACAACCCCTTCCCGACCTTCCCGTTTACCGGCAGTCTGCGACCGGTCTATCCACTGTCGGCCACCAGGCAGTTGCCAGACAGCATACGGAGACCGGATTATGCCAAAGATGGCATTCCGCGATCGGAACAGAGCCCCGTCACGCGAAACAAGCTGAAGATCCTGAGCAAGGAGGAGCAGGAGGGCATGCGAAAGGTTTGCCGGTTGGCAAGAGAGGTCCTGGATATCGCAGCCGCCGCCGCCAAACCAGGGGTGACTACCGATTACATAGATGAGATCGTTCACAAGGCATGCATTGAGAGAAATGTAGGTGTTCCCCGGTTGCCAGTTGGACATCACTAACACGACCAGTCCTATCCATCTCCCCTGAACTACTGCCATTTCCCGAAATCCGTCTGCACCTCCCCCAATGAGATCATCTGCCACGGCATCCCCGACAACCGCGTCCTCGTTGATGGTGACATCCTCAACATCGACGTCACCCTCTACCATGGCGGCTTCCACGGCGACCTCAACGAAACTTATTACATCGGCTCCCGCGCCCGCGCCGACCCGGACTCTGTGCGCGTCGTCGAAACCGCGCGCGAATGCCTCGACAAATCTATCGAGCTCGTCAAGCCCGGGATGCTGTTCCGCGACCCCGGCAACGTGATCGAGAAGCACGCGAAGAGCCGGAACTGTGGCGTCATCCGCACGTACTGCGGACACGGGATCAATCAGTTGTTCCACTGCGCACCAAACGTGCCGCATTATGCGAAGAGCAAGGCGGTGGGGACGGCGAAGCCGGGGATGTGTTTTACGATTGAGCCGATGATTAGCTTGGGGTCGTATCGGGATAAGACGTGGCCGGATGATTGGACTAGTGCGACGGTGGATGGATCGCGGACGGCGCAGTTCGGTAAGCAGTACTCAGGGTATATTGTATACTAGATGCTAACAGTGCTTAGAACATACTCTCCTTGTGACGGAGACCGGAGTGGAAATCTTGACGGCGAGGTTTCCCAATTCCCCGGGTGGGTCGGTACCGATGCCAGAGGCCAAGATGGAGGAGAAAGGGGAGGGGAAAGATTGAGGATTGGTGATGAGATAATGAGGATCTGAACGGGATAAATGCTATTTTATTATTCAACGAGAATTCTCGACGGCCGTGATCCAGCAAGGCGTTGGATGACTGATGGAGAATGGTCACGCCATACATGGAGGGACAGCTACGTATTCCGTTCACTGCCTACACAACATTACTCCATGATGCAGCCATTATAGTATAAACACCGTGGCATTTACGTATCTGTAGTCTGCTGCCTAGTTTCTTTTCGAGCCAAAAGAGCATTATCAGAATCATGCAGCCTTGCCGATATTGCGGCAGCCCACCAGACACTCCCCTGTGCAAGCAGATCCCAGGCATTCAGGCAACAAGGCGTCAATCCAGGATGGAGGGATTCTCAACGCCTCGCCAACCTCATCAACTTCGCCTGTGATCCGTGAGGTCATCCCAACCTCAATCCTGATAGCTTTTCCTACCTTCTCCAACATTCCCCTCTACCGTCAAAATCCTATAACCATACCCTCTTCGTCCGACTGGTGTCCGCCTCCGCCGAAACCTCCTGAACACCCGACCAACACGGCTCTTACCCGTCCAAACGGTTAACTCCGCTCGCCCCACGCTCCATCGTCGCATTGCTGATTGCCTGCTACCGACTCATTGCTAGACGCGATCGACCAACAGGGACCTCTGGATACCGGAGATCAGTGACAAGCGCAAGACCGAGCAACCGTTCGAGATCTGTGAGCTGCAAAAGGTCGCGGGGATACCGTATAGGAGGAGGAACGCAAAATCAGCAAACTCGGGATTCCCAGCACCAGTCCCGCACACAACAACAACACCACACGCCGTAATCCACAATGTCCGGAGAAGCATGGCTGTATCTCCTCGCCGTGCTGATCAACGCGGTGAACCTGTTTTTGCAGGTCTTCTTCACGATCATGTACAGCGACTTGGAATGGTAGGTTCCCTCTCCGGTGATCGGACCCCGATGATAGTCGGGAACGATGGAGATAGCCAGAGCTAACCACGAACTGGATAGTGACTATATCAACCCGATCGACCTCTGCAACCGCTTGAACACGTACATCATCCCAGAGGCGGCCGTGCATGCGTTTTTGACGTTCTTGTTCGTGATCAATGGATACTGGCTTGCTATCATTCTGAACCTACCGCTACTAGCGTGGAACGCGAAGAAGTATGAATTCAGTGGAACGATCGATTGTCGGGGATGCACGACTGACTAGAAAATAGGATCTTTGAGAATTCGCACCTCCTCGACGCGACGGAGATCTTCCGGAAGTTGAACGTGCATAAGAAGGTATGAATCCCCCCTCTGGGCACGCTTGATCCCGTTGGAGCAGTGCTAACCTCGCCGCTAGGAATCGTTCATCAAACTGGGTTTCCACCTCGTCATGTTTTTCTTCTACCTCTACTCCATGATCGTGGCTCTAATCCGCGACGAGTCCCATTAACCGTCTCGCCCACAATGAACATCTAGAACCTAGAAACCCTCGAAAACCGTGGTCCATCGCGTGGGCGAACTCCGCAGCATGGCGCAGGTGGACGAGACGACGTGGTGGCGGAATGGATGGGAGCGAGATAGAGGATTGGAGGACATGAGATGGGATGAATCCTGTATAGATGGGGAAGGGAAAGGGGACGGGCGGATTTCATCAGACTTTGATTTTTCTATAGCGGGCGATAAGCGACCGTGAGGATTTTGGTAACTCTCTACGTTTCCGTCGCGGATGTCCATAATGGCTTATCTGACCAACACCGTTTTTTGGTTCCATGCGGTCGTTCGTGTCGGATGTGTGGCTGATTTGTTTGGTGATGTTGAGTTACGGGACAAGGGAAGATCCAGAGATTTGTAACAGGTATGTTATCTTGATGAAGAGCTGGTTCCAGTGTCTCAACAAGCGATTCTACCGGTCTCAACTTATAGAATCGTCCCCAGATTAACATGCACCGCCTTCTTATTCGTATACGCATCCAACCCCGCCTCCCCCAGTTCCCTCCCCACCCCGCTCATCTTCACCCCCCCAAACGGCACATGAATATCCGAATCATTGCTCGAATTAATCCACACCATCCCCGCCTCGATCCTTCTCGCCACCCGATGCCCGCGCGTGATGTCCCGCGTGAACACCGCGCTCCCCAACCCGTACGTCGTATCGTTCGCCCGCTCCAACGCCTCCTCCTCCGTCTTAAACGACGAAATCACCACGAACGGCCCGAATATCTCGTCGCGGTAGATCTTCATGTCGTCCGTGACGTTGGTGAAGACGGTCGGTTCGATAAAGAACCCCTTGCCCGCGCCCACGTTCTTGTGTGCCGTGCCACCCGCCACAAGCGTCGCGCCCTCGGACTTGCCCGTCTCGATGTACGAGAGGATGCGGTCGTATTGCGCCCGGGTGACCTGCGGCCCCTGGAACGTGTCGTCGGCGAAAGGATCGCCCACCTTGCTCGTTGTCTTCACTTGCGCCTTGAATGTCTCGACGAATTTCTCATACACGCCCTCCTGCACGAGCACGCGCGACGTGGCGGTGCAGATCTGCCCCATGTTGCTCATGATGCCGATGTGGGCCCACTTGACGGCCTGGTCGAGGTCGGCGTCGTCAAAGACGAGGAGGGGGGATTTGCCGCCGGTTTCGAGGGTGATGTTCTTGAGGTTGATGGCGGCAGTTTTCATGATTTCGCGGCCCGTGGCAGTCGAGCCGGTGAAGGCGATCTTGTCAATGCCGAGATGGGAGGCGATTGCGTGGCCGGCGACGCGGCCGTGGCCGTTGAGGATGTTGACGACGCCTGGGGGGAATCCAGCTTCTTTGACAAGGTTGGCGAAGTAGAGGATGGACAAAGGAGTCTGTTCGGCGGCCTTCAGGACCACCGTGTTTCCGCAACATAAGGCAGGGCCAAGTTTCCACGCTGCCATGGCCAAAGGATAGTTCCATCTGCACTGAGGTCAGTATTCGACAAGGCATATAGAGGTAGAGTTCTATACGGGATGATCTGTCCACACACGCCCAGCGGCTCCCTTATCGTATATGCCAGCTTCGCCGGAGAAGTGTCAATCACCTGGCCATGCACCTTATCCGCCCATCCAGCATAGTACTTGAAGCACCCAATCACCTCACCCAGATCCTCATCTCTCGCAACAGTGTACGGTTTGCCTATCCAGCGTCAGCATCACGGCCCATTCTCACCCATCAATCCAGTAAACGAGAAGCATGTACCATTATCCCACGTCTCAATCGTGGCCAGCGTCTCCTTATGCTCTTCAATCAAGCTCGCCAGCTTAAACATCAGGTCTGCCCGATCCGTCGTCGACATATCCCGCCATGACGGATCCTTGAACGCCTTCCTTGCCGCGGCGACCGCATCATCGACGTCTTCCGGGTCGGCAGCATAGACCGAGACGATCTCACTCTCGTCGCTAAGGAACGCGTCAGTAATGAATCTCGAACGTAGTTTGCATGCTGAAGCATCGCTTCGAGTGAGATCGCGGCTGCATGCCCGGATGGTGCTTACGTTGGGTTGATGGACGCGAACTTCTCGCCTTTCTTCGACCTGACCCATTCGTTGTTGATGAACAGGCCGATTGGCTGGGTGTATTTGACGCCGTTCGGCGCCGTCAGCTCGACTGCGAGATCTGACATTCTGGTAGAGGCGAAGGTTCGGAAAGCGGGGGGATAAATAATTACAGAAGGGACACGGAAGGATGGTAGCTTGAGCGGTCGCAATGGCGTTCGGAAGAGAGACGAGACAACGCGGTTCATTTCATGGATGGAGGGGAAGGAATACCGGACGTTCTGTGGCTCTTATAATTACGGTAGTTATCAGAGTCTTGCTCTACTGCTATCCTACCCCACAATCCGGTCGTGGCGATTGCTACCTCTGCTACGCTGCCTGCGCTACCTACCGTAGAGGATAAGAGAGGAGAAGATAGCGCGATTGAGTTAGGTGTGTGGATGGATGTAATAGCAGGAGTGGTGATCCGATGGTGGGAGAGCTCCAGGCTGGGATAGACTTACCTGTTTGGTGGTAGTTTTACTTGGGATCTGGCAGGAGTTTGGCACGAGGAGGGGCCGGTGCAATCCACGATAAGGCGGCGCCATCGAAATCCATTGAAGTTTATCTAGTTATGGAATTTGACTATGGAATTCAATGGTAATGGTCATCCATATACGATGAACTGAACGTGCAGCCAGCATTTTGGCCATCCTATTCACAACAGCTCTTCATGACTACCACGATCTAGGTCGTCTGAAACTTGCCTTATTAGAAACAATAGCCCATGATCCACGCACGCTACTCGACCAGAATGTATGTGTCATCATCCCGACCCAAGTCCAATCCCAAAGACCTGGTACATGATGCATTTCCAGAAGACCCCTCATTCCGTCTCCCTCAACCCAGTCCAGTCTCGACTCTTGAGTCCTGCAGCAGGTGGGTGACATGGGAGAGCAGACAAGGGCCACTCCTCCAAGTCTCTAATACTATCTGGGGGTCATAGAGGCTATCGTATGTAGCCTTTAAGTTACTGAGCCAGCTGAGATGGCAATGCCGAATACATTATGAACGTAGCTTATCCTCGGAGGGTTCTTGCGAAAGTATCGTCTCTCGGACACATTTCGTTTGTCTGGGCAGGCATTGGCAGCAGAGCAGCAGAGTAGCAGCACACTCACTGTTCAATCAACTCGCCTGAAAGGACATTCCTTGTCGTCGCGACGATCTGATGAACTGTCCATCCAAACTCCGATACAGGCATGGAAAGGCATGATTCCCTTGACAAATTCGATAGGATTCTGCGTCTGATGTTGAGGATGGTGGGGGTTTCTGACCGATGGCGGGGCAGAATTTCTCATCTGATGGGAGGGGTGTCATAGCGCATGGAATTCTTGCGCGGGATCGCACCACCACAGTGAGGGCTAAGGTAGACAGTAGACACCACCAGACTGCTCTGAAAGCCAATTCTCTCACCATAAACAACCGGATCGCATTCGGAAAAAACCACTAAACGAGCAAAGTTGAGCACGCCATCGCACGTCCATCCAAAGAGCTCAAGTTGAATGTAAGTTGTCCACTATATAGACGCTCTTTTCCTTCCCAGTCCTTTCAGTTCCCTTCTGTCCTCTTTCAACTCCCTTGTCACTTTTAATTGAACTTTCATTGGGTTTCCTGCCTTACTTACCTGTAACCATTGTGCATTCCAGCCAGCTCTTTGATACCCCACCACCCATTTAGTCTCTAGGTGTGTTCCCACCCTCTTTCCGGATCCTTCCACCCACCAACTTCCCGCCAGTAACCTTTACTTGAAAAACCATTCTCTGACTTGAAATCCGTCCGTCCAGATCATCTCCATCCATCATCATGTCCACCGAATCCCGCGCCACTCCCCTCCGCCTGGGCAGCATCGCCCCCAACTTCCAAGCCGAGACTACCACCGGCCCAATCGATTTCCATGAATTCATCGGTGACAACTGGGTGGTGCTGTTCTCGCATCCGGAGGACTACACACCCGTCTGCACGACGGAGCTGGGCGCGTTCGCCAAGCTGGAGCCGGAGTTCACCAAGCGCGGCGTCAAGATGATCGGGCTGTCGGCGAACACCGTCGAGAGCCACGGGGGGTGGATCAAGGATATCGATGAGGTGACGGGGAGCAAGGTGGCGTTCCCGATCATTGGGGATAAGCAGAGGCAGGTGGCGTTCCTCTATGATATGTAAGTGATTTCCTCGAGACTGTTTGCATCACCAATCCCGACCACCTGGCTCTTGGAAGCGCATCGAACCCGGTTCAATTTCTTTGAATCGGTCGTTCAGCCGTCTCACTACAAACCCACCCAACACCAGCTGACCCAACACTCCCCCCCAACCAGGCTGGACCACCAAGACGCTACCAACGTCGACAGCAAAGGCATTGCTTTCACCATCCGCAGCGTCTTCATCATCGACCCTAAGAAGACGATCCGCCTGATCCTCTCGTACCCGGCCTCCACCGGCCGCAACTCCGCCGAGGTGCTCCGCGTCATCGACTCGCTGCAGACCGGCGACAAGAACAAGATCACCACTCCGATCAACTGGATCCCCGGCGACGACGTCATCGTCCACCCGGCCGTCAAGACCGAGGACGCGAAGCAGATCTGGCCCGAGATTCGCATCGTGAAGCCGTATTTGCGGTTCACCCCGTTGCCGAAGGATAAGACTAGCGCGGCTTAAAGGGTTGATGCGCGGGTGTGGACGAGCTGGGACAGTTCAGTCGACAGATGTGAGGAGAGACGGAGCTAGTGGTAGCTCGAGGTCGATGAGCGGCATCCGGTGCGTGATAGCATAGACCGGATGAAGCATAGGACGAGGGTGATGTTTTGGCTCGCGTCGGGCTCTTATATGGTGATTTGGCATCAGCTGCCAGTTTCAAACCCAATAAACCACAGAATTCAGAAGTTCCAATACTCTACCGTGTCACTGGGCCCTGTAGTGATGTGCTTCATCCGAGACCGCTTACAGGATTCGATTTGAATTCTTCTGGTGTTTCCAGTCTTTCATTTGGTGGTTGCATGAGTGGCCAGACAACCGCCGTTAAGACAGTGTTTGGGGATATAAGTCAATGCTCCTATTACTATTCCATATTTCTTACCACTTACCCATCACGGCTAGCGTTCCCAGCACACACACTTCGCTGTCGTTTTACACGTGCCATCAACCTGGCCGCCTCGCCAATCACCTCCCAATTGACAAATTCCCTCGAACAACATCCACATCCGGCTCCCGGCTCCGTCAGTCACGCATTTCTCCACGACCGCTTCACACGTCCAACCACCCCGTACCCCAACGATCTCCCATCCCCGACCCTCGCACGCCCATGGCGGAACCCGACATCGGACGGCTGCGTGCAAAGATACCGAGGATGCGGCACAGGCGTAGGGGTGCCGGGAAGGGTGTAATCAAGCGCATAGTCGGACGGACGTCATGACAATATCGGATTCTATATACTCCGTACTATGGTATGGGTGAGGATGCATACTCGGGATGATCAGGATGGGATAGAGTTGGGGTGGAAGTCACGGGCTTGCGGGTTCATGTGAGAGGGGGAGGGATGGGGGGCGATTCGGGGCTTGGGGAGGTAATTTAAATGCAATTCTGGTCAACCAATTGAAGGGAATTCAAAGGTTTTTCAGTAATTCGGGCGAGTGGGAGGAGATGTTCTGCGGACAGGCCAATCACTGCAGACATTAATATTGATACTCTATTTCTTCCATATAGTCTGCGTCGTGGTGTCAGCGATTGACCGCCGATTTGGTGAGTGAGCAGAATCCAATGCCTAATGTGGCTGTGTGGCGCCGATCCAGGCCTCAGGCAACTAGGCCCCAACGCCCACTACGCGCCAGCCCGTGCCTGACATCCGCAGACCGCAACCCTTCAAGCATGTCTGTCGTTCACCTCGCCGAAACTAAAGCACCTCACCTCACGCTTCCAATATTCATCCCATCATCCACATCATCCATCGACCTCCTCTCCCAATCCATCATCAACCACCATCCATTCCACCCTCCCATCCACTCTAATCGCCGCCTCTCCGCCCGTCGCACGCCCTCCCGTTTCTAAGGTCCTTGATCTGCGTTCGGTAAGTCACGTCTTCAATTCGTCGGGCTGGCGGGAGCTCGACCCCCGTTCCCCGCGCCCTGGGAAACATCTGAGGTGTGGTGTGCTCTTTGCTATTGTGACCTATGTGTGCTCTCGTCGGCGGAGGTGCCGCCGGGCTTCCCGATTCTTTGTTCCACATGAGTTATATCCCCCTTCCCCTGGTCTTGTTGCGTGTCTGTATTCGGGGTATTTGCATTTGCCATTGAGACACTCGTCAGGCCTCATCCCTGGTTTTTCGCGGACGAGGGTTTTTGTTTTTTAATGGTTTCAAGTCTTGCTTTTCATGTCCCTACGCGCGAGTTGGTTCCGGCGAACTGCTACATCGGCGGTTGGTGGACGGTGATTCGATGCCGTTTGTCGACACCGTACGGACGGTTCCTTTATGGTCGAGATTGCAGACGAAGCTGAAGATCTGCGCTTGTTCCTGACGGTGCGGAGTTGAAGGGGGACGCGACATTGGGTTTGCCTGTGAATATTTCTTGTCTCTTGGAGATATCCTTTTCCGAGTCACCACTTTCATATTTCAATCGTGCGATTTCTCCGCTTCATATAGGGTCACCGTACAACCACATGCTTTTTCTTGTGTCCGTCAATTCCTGTGCTGACAGACATTGCTCCTCCAGGCGCTCTCGTTTCTCCGCCGCTCGGTACATCTGCTGTGCTCTTCAGGGATCCATTCGCTCCAAATCCCTCCGTACCTGTGAAGCGTCCTTGAGCCTTCACAGACAAACCTCGACAGAACCCTCGCTGTGACCCGGGGAAGTCTCCTGACTGATTGTATTCCCTCGCACCACCAAGGCGCTCTTCCCTTCTTTTTGGAACTTTCGGAATACCTTTTAATCTTAAACCTATTCCCACCTCACCGACCCTAGCAACTTCTTGTCCATCTCCGACCAGCTGCACGAGGCACGTTCCGATCGTTATTCCGCAGTATGTGCCGTCCTTAGCCGGTGAACATATCTCCACTCACGCATCTACCGATACGACTCCGCGACGCTTTTCTGAATTTCTGGTTATCCCATGTTCTAGCTTTTCCAACCCTTCCGACTCCGCACCCCGCAACGCATCATTCCCTTACGACTCCGCTAGACGGTCCCGGCATGTTGAGATAGTTATTCAGTCCTGGGCTCAACCTGCGTGCGTGCTACGCGAACGTCTGCACCGTCGTCTTGCGTATCCATTCGCGAGCCGGCTTCACGAGTCGAGGAGGCCCGCAGATCGAAGGAGATGAGGATGTCGCGCCAGACTCCAGGTGGGAGCCGGTCCAACACGATGGATTCCGAGGTCTCGGCTCCTTCTCCTGCACAACTGTATTCCGATCAGTTCCGTAGTGGATCCACCGCCTTTATATCCAGCCAGAATAGCAGCCAGACCAGTTTGCCGCGGAATGCGCAAGATGAGCCACCCTACCCATTGTCACGCCAGCAGTCGGCAGCATCTCAGACTGGTCCGTCTCCGGCATTGCCACCGACAGCAGGGCTAGGAACCACCACTAATACGGGGCTGACGGGATTGGTGTGTAATGTTTACCGAACGACTGGCAAGGAACCTCGACCGTTGGTTGGCGCAACCACCACGGTATTAGGGGATAAGCTATATGTGTTTGGAGGACGACGACTTTCTCGGACACGACCGCATCTTACGAACGACATGTACGAACTGGATTTGATCAAGAGACATTGGACGAGATTGGACTGCCAAGGCGATATCCCGCCTCCACGATATTTTCATAGCATTTGTCCGTTGGGCGACACGAAGCTTGTTTGTTATGGCGGCATGTCCCCTTCTGTTTTGCCCTCGGGGCAGCCGACCATACCCAACCAACCTCCTACGCCGGGTGAGCCGCAGCCCGAAGTGGTGGTCATGTCCGACATTCACATCTTCGACGTCACGACAAGATCCTGGATGCAGATCCCTGCCACGGACGCGCCACAGGGCCGATACGCTCATTGCGCCTCGATCTTGCCGTCCTCTGCGGCTTTTACGTCCGCGAATGCACCGTTGTCAGCGATTCACCACAACCCGTCGTCGAATAGCCCCAATCAAGGGCAGATCGGGGTGGCGCTAGACGGAACGGGTGGGGCGGAGATGATCGTCGTAGGGGGACAAGACAGTGCGAATCATTATATCGAGCAAATCAGCGTGTTTAATCTTCGAAGTTTGAAGTGGACGTCGACGATGGGCATTGAGAAGAGTTGGGGCTCATATCGGAGTGTCGTGGCTCCTGTTAATGGAGAGCTGGCGGGGAAGATTGGTGTCAAAATGAGGAAAGATAGCGAGCCGTTACCTGCGGAGAACTCGAAGCTGTCGGATGCGGTGGGCACCAGCGGATCGGCGATGCTGATCTATTCTAACTACAATTTCCTGGATGTCAGATTGGAACTGCAGCTCCGATTGCCCGATGGAAGTCTCGTTGAACGACCGATGCAAGGGGCCTATTCCCCTCCCGGACTTCGATTCCCGAACGGCGGGGTCATCGATAACTACTTCGTGGTTAGCGGCACCTTCTTGACGTCCTCGAAGCAGGAATATGCTTTATGGGCATTGGATCTTCTCACGCTGCAATGGAGCCGAATCGACGCCGGAGGGAGCATTTTCTCGAACGGAAGCTGGAACCGTGGCGTGCTATGGAATCGACGGAATACCTTCGTGATCCTTGGCAATCGCAAACGAAACATGGTCGAGGATTATAACCACCGGCGAATGAACTTCAGCAACTTGTGTATGGTGGAACTCGAAGCATTTGGGTTGTACGATAACCCTCGGAGGACGAAGCCGACATCGGAATATGTGTCGGTGAGCTCTCCTTCGAGGTCGCTGAAGTTGGGGCCGAATACCGCAGGAGGACGGCAGCTGTCGAAGGAGGCGGAGAGGTTGGGACAGATGGCACTCGGCATGGGCGAGCTTGCAGACATGGACTTCCTTGCCATCAATGGTGAACGGATACCGGCCAACTCCCACCTTGTCGCTCGACGGTGGGGCAATTACTTCAACCATCTGCTACGAGACGGCATCAACGTCGACGACAAAAACGACACGGCCACACTCCGCGCCAATTCCATCACCAATCCGTCCCGCAACTCCTCCATCACCATAACCCCCTCCGTCCGAACCGTCTATTCCTCTGCCACCACCCTCACCAACAACGACGGCGCCTCCATAACCACCACCCTCGGCCCGCATTCCCCCCCCTCCCACTCCGACCGCACCCCCCACCTCACCGACCCCCCGGATCCCCGACACCCCAACCCCTCCCTCCGCCCCCGCGCCCTCTACCTCCCCCACACCGTCCCCACCGTCCACGCCCTCCTCCACTACCTCTACACCTCCTCCCTCCCGCCCCCCAACTCCCCCCTCTGCACTCCTCAAATCCTCTGCTCCCTCCTCCAGCTCGCCCGCCCCTACCGTGTCGACGGCCTCCTCGAAACTGTCGTCCATCGCCTCCACGCCGTCCTCGACGCCCGCAACACCGCCGCCATCTTCAACGCCGCCGCCATGGCCGCGGGGGGTGGCGACGGAGTTGCGTTCCTTGCGCCGAACGGAGGCGTCGTTGGTGGACCCGGCGCGATCTCGAGGTCCGGCAGCTTGGATCCGACCGCGGAGGTGTTGGAGACAGGGGCGGACAAGCGCGAGCGCGCGGCGCCGGGTAACGGGCTCGGACAGCGGAGTCGCAGCGGCAGCGCGAGCGCGAGCGTAACGGCGAACCGGCTGGCGAGCCTACGATTGGATGCGGAAGGCCGGGAGCGGGAGCGTGATGGGAACGTGAACGGACGGGCGGACGACGAGGGGAGCAGCGCGGGGGCGAGCACGGCGAGCGCGAGCGAGGTCGGGAGTTTGAGCGGGGTGGAGGAGGGGGAAGCGGGGGAGGTGTGGCGGGGGGAGTTCAGTGCGGTGGTGGGGTTGCAGAAAAGGGGATTGAGGGGGTTGTTGGAGGGGAAGAGGATTCGGGAGCACGGTGGGGGGAGGAGGGAGATGGGGTTGGGGATTGCGTAAGGAGGTAATCGACGGTTGTTTTGTGGTGGTATCATAGGTAGTGTTTAGTGAATGATGCGATGCGATGGGTCGGTATGGAAAAGGACGGAAACAGTACAGTATGGTATATGCTATGGACTATGTTTATAAAAATTGCTGCTCGGCTGGTCATGCATGGATGGTTTAAAAATTGTCTATTTCGCGCTCGTTACCGCTCGCCCGGTACAGAAGCCATATCCTTCTCAGCACTAGACGAATCAAAACGGCATTTTGGGTAAATTGGTCCTCTTCTCTCCAATTGCTCACCCTCTCGCATTCATCCTTGATACTGGTATGCGGACTCCCCATGATCCATGGTTCCGGCTTCCACGCGGATGGGTAAGGTACGCCACCGATCCAGGCCCGCGGAACGGCGATGGTGGTTGTCAGGGTTGGACCGAAGAATTTGGAGATCCCGTCGGGGCTGATTGATGGATTCTGGGTCTCGCGGACTTTCAGGAAAGGATGACATCTCCTCTACACTGCAGCCATCAATATTAATGCTCTTGTAATTACATCTGCCGGATCTGGATGCATAGCACGTGTAGTAGGAACGGAGGAACCAAGGCAATCAGGCAGCAAGGCGGTGAGGCAGCCATGTAGTGGCAGTTCAATGGTGCCGGGGCCATGTTTACTCATTTCCCCTTTTGACGCTTTCTCCATAGCTCTTTCCTTGCCGGCTCTGCCACCAGATCAACCAACATTGTCCTTCGACTGTCTCTCTCCTCTACATCTTTATTCTGCTTCTCTTTGGAGTGTCTCTACTCCAAGTCGTCCTGCAAGACCACTGTCTGTCCACCGTTTTACCATTGTGAGTACCGATTCCATCCACTGCAACCCTCTGCCCAATCGTCGTGTGTCGTGCCCCCATGTCTTGGTCAAACGTCCGCCGCAAGCGAGCCAGTCATCGTCCACCTCGGCCACCTGCATTCGCGTCGTTTAACACCTTGTCCACTGTCCAGGCCCTGGACTGGACCCCCTGGAGACGCCTTCAATATCAATAAACCGTTCCTGTAATACAACTCAGAATCCGTGGACCCTCACTCTGTCACTCCCCTTTTAGATCCGCTGGTGTTGCTGCGTTTCCCAAACACGACACGTTGCTCTCTTGCAATTGGAGTTTCCCACCCATCCTGAGCGAGCCATCTTTCTCACTCGTCGTCGGTGTCTCTATCCCTTTTCGTCGTTTCCTACCACCGTCCCGGCTATCCCTCTCATCCTCCATCCACAGCACCCGGACGCTAACCCCCTTCTCAACCACCGCAGCCATGTCCAACCCTCGAACCAACCCCTCCGCCGGCGTCAAATCCCTCCGCGCCATGTTCGAAAACGCCGATCCCAGCCCGTCGTCGCCCGCCGCCGAGCCCCGCGGCCGCTCGCCCGCCGCCAGCAGCGTGACCAGCGACCGCAGCTCGCGCCCGATTTCGAAAGTGCGCACGTCATTCGTCAGCGTGCAGCCGAGCGGGCAGCAGGTGCGGACCCCGAGCGCGTCGAATATGGAGAGTTCACTGTCGCGGCGTCGGGAGAGCTTCAGTGCCGATGGTCAGGAGGTGAAGGAGGAGGTGAAGAAGGTGGTGAGCGGGGAGTTAAGGACGAGTGTGGGAAGTGCAGGGATTCAGGAGGCGATACCGGAGCAGCCGCTGGAGACGCCAGGGGAAGGGGAGGAGAAAGTGTTTGGGGGGAGGGTGGAGGGCAAGGCGTTGGTTGGGGAATTAAGTGAGAAGCTGCAGGGGTTTCATATATCGGGCAAGAAGGAGGAGAAGCCGAAGGCGGCGGTGGAAGACGAGATGGCGGACAAGCCCGAGGATCCGAAAAAGGAGAATCTTGCCTCTGGTAGTGCAGCGCCTTCGCCGTCGAAAGAACTGACACCACTGTCGGACACGACGAACACTGGAAAATCTATGGTGCCGGAGAGTCCGCTTCAGGAGAATCCAGTACAAAAGTCTATAGTGCAAGTTCCTGCCGTCCACGAGCAGAGAGTGCAAGAGCCTACTGTCCAACAACAGATGGTGAAAGAGCCGACCGTCCAAGAGCGGACTGTGCAAGAGCCTAAAGGGCAGGATGCCATACCAACGGATATCAGTCAATCCGAACCCGTCGAGGCCTCGAAACCAGCGACCAACGGTACACCAGAACCTACGGATGCGCCAAAGACACCAGTCTCTAAGAAGACGAATGGAACACCTTCCACGAAACCGGTCGCTAAACCTCAGGAATCGAAACGGCAACCTCGTGTGGAGCCGAAACCCGTCGCGAAGCCCCTTGTAAAACCCAATGGACAAGCAAAGGGGCCGATGTCAAAAGCTTCGGCGACTGCATCCGTGCACCCACCAGCCCCAACAAAGTCAATCACCAAGCCGTCCAAGCCCAGCGCTTCCACTTCCACTCCCAATCCTACAAAACCAACATCCACCTCCGGCCCATCCAACCCCATCCAGCCCCCACGCTCCCCCGCCCCAAAATCCTCCCGCGCCTCCCTCCGCGCTTCCACCACATCCACCTCCACCACCAGCACCCTCCACCCCCCATCCACCGGCTTCGTCAAACCTCGCCCCAAGTCCCCCACCCGACCCATCACCCTCCCCGCACACCTAGTCGCCCCAACCACCAGCTCCTCCGCCAAGCTCCGCGACTCCACCGCCTCCGCCACTACTACCGCCACCAGCAAACCCCTCTCTCGCAAACCCTCCACCCTCACCCGCGACCGCGTCGCCGCCCTTCCCAAACAACAACCCCACAGCAGCTTTGGCCCCGCCCCCCGCCGGGTCTCCTCCCGCGCCAGCCTCGGCGGCGCATCGACTGCGGGCAGCGTTAGCGGCGATCGGCATACGAAGACGGCGCCGGACGAGGGGTTCTTGGCGCGGATGATGCGGCCGACGCAGAGTAGTTCGTCGAAGGCGAGGGAGGAGCTTGGGGGTGCGAGCGCCGGGGCGGGAGCCGGTGGGAGAAGGGGTGGGAGGGCCGGGGCGAGTGGGAGGGAGGGGAAGGTGAATGGGGTGAAGGGGGTTGGGGCGAGGAAACCGGTGGAGAGTGCGGAGGGGCAGAGTGTGGTTGAGGAGACGGTGGGGGAGGTGCCGGAGAGTGCGGTGGGAGATGTATCGATGGAATCCGGGGTGACGACAGATGAGGTGCCAGTCGAAGAAGTGGAAGAGGTTCTCGTGGCACCATCGGCTCAGTGAATTGATCTCAGCCTGAATATCGACAATATCAGAATAGCATAGCACGGCGTTGCCAACATCCGATTTTTGATATTTCGGCATCACAGCGTCCCTCCTCCCTAGTTAGTTCAATTACCGATTTTATGTAGGCTATGTATACCCATGATATCTTCGGGTCGAAAGAATTCCGCTCCGGCCTAATTACTCACGAACCGTGAATAGTTGTTGTACGCGGTGAGATTGGTATGACTCCTATCCTGCAACTTGTCGACGTCTCGTGGAGATATCCTGGGATAAATTCGGAGGATCGTTCCGTTACTCAGCATTCCCCTACATCTCACCCCCGAAATCAAGCTCGCCAACCTTTCGGTAGGGCGTGCATGACTGCGTCCTGCAGATCGCCAACACCACCTTTCCCAATCCCATCTCCATCACGAAAATGCCCCTCTGCCGCAATTCAATCCAGCAGTCACGGCATCACCGATCGCCCACCGCCATCCGGCTTCCCGTTCCCCCTCCCCGCGGTCCGTTTCGCCGTGCTATCTCCAGTTTCTCCACCGTGAAAGAGTAGTGTCGGCGCGGGTCCGCTCGACACCCAATCAGCACGACGGATGGGGATCGAGACGTTTCGGTGCCGACGATCGGCAGTGGGGACTCCACTTGGGTGACTGGTCAGTTGCTTGATAAAATCGAGGTCGGTCGTGTTCTTGCACATTGCATCTAGCTACGGTTTTACTCGTTTCTGGTCTTTGCGGAATTGTTGGGGGAGAGTATTAATTAGTCGCTGTTGTCGTTCAATGCGGGTTGATTGATTGCTGTGCGATACCTTGGTCGATCGCCTTGCTGCTCTCGAAGCCATGATCGAGCCGACGGAGAAATTCGGTCGAGGATCCGGGGATAATGCGGGAATAAACCCCCCTGGTTCGGCCATCAAAGATGTTGGCATGTCGGACGAGAAGAAGTTGGACGATGGCATCGCGTCAATCAAAGAAGAGCAAGGCACCCAAGACAACGGATCGGAGCAACCGATCGTATACCACTACCTCACCTTCGAGACCGATCTCCCCTTTCCACATCAACCCACCCCATCTCACGATGCACCCCCTCCCCCCAACCTCGCCCCCTTCGTCTCCCCCTTCCTATGGTCCCCCTCCCGCAAATACATCATCCTCACCATGTCCTGCCTCGCCACCGGCCTCGCCGCCTTCAACGCCTCCTCCTATAGCCCCGCCCTGACCCAACTGACCGCCGAGTGGTCCATCAGCCCGGTCGCCGCCTACGTCGGGCTGACCGTCTTCACCGCGGGCTTCGGCATCGCGCCGATGGTGCTCGCGCCCTTCTCGGAGATCAACGGGCGCAAACCCGTGTTCGTCGCGTCGGGTGTGCTGTTTGTTGCGAGTCAGATCTGGTGCGGGCGAACGGGGTCATTCGGGGGGATGTTAGCTGCGCGGTTCCTGGCGGGGGTGGGGGGGTCGACGTTCTCGACGATGGTGGGGGGAGTGGTGAGTGATATCTATCATGCAGAGGAGCGGAATACGGGGATGTCGTTGTTTTCGGGGGCGGCGTTGTTTGGGACAGGGTTCGGGCCGGTGGTGGGCGGTTGGATTGCGGAGAATACGACCTGGAGGTGGATTTTCTATGTACAGGCGATTGTGGATGGGGCGGTGATTATCGGGGTTATCATTGTGTTTAAGGAGACGAGGGGGAGTGTGTTGTTGAGCCGGAAGGCGGCGGCGTTGAATAAGTGGTATGCTGCGAGAGAAGGCGTTGGGCTCTACTACGTTTCGATGCCGTCCAACTCCGAACCTTCGATACGAATCCCACAGCGCATTCGATGGAAGGTCAAATCTGACGAAGAGCGCACCTCTATCCTCAAGATGATCTCCATCTCCCTCTACCGCCCCTTCCACCTCCTCACCACCGAACCAGTCGTCTTCTTCTTCGCCCTCTGGGTCGCCTTCGCCTGGGCGGTCCTCTACCTCACGCTCGCCGCCATCCCCCTCGTCTTCGCCACGAACCACGGCTTCTCCGTCGCCCAATGTGGCGCCGTCTTTACTTCCATGTGCGTCGGCTCTATCCTCTGCACGGTCCTTAGCATATATCAAGAAAAGCTCGCCAAGCGCTACGGGAAGATGCTCAACACACCCGAAGGCCGCCTCTATTTCAGCTGCGTCGAGTCAGCCCTCCTCCCCATCGGTCTGTTCATGTTTGGCTGGACCTCCTTCGCCTCCATCCACTGGATTGTCCCCACCATTGCCATCGGCCTCGCCACCATGGGCATCTTCTCGATCTACCTCGCCGTGTTCAACTACCTCGCTGACACGTATCATCGGTACGCCAGCTCGGCGATCGCGGCGCAGAGTTTCTGTCGGAATATGCTAGGCGGCGCGTTCCCACTGATCACGGCGCAGATGTATAAGAAGCTGACGTACGGCGGCGCGTCGAGCTTCCTGGGCGGGTTCGCGGCGTTGTTGACGATCGTGCCATGGGTGCTCGTGTTTTGGGGTCCGAACATCCGAGCGAGGAGTAAGTTTGCGAGCGAGATTATGGAACATGCTTCGGCTTGAGATCTGCATAAAGAGGTTGGATTAGTTGAATACATCATATTTTTAATATATTTATTTTGATCGTTCCCTTGGTCCATCATCTTCCGTCATACACCGGGTTAGGCTTTTGCTTCTTTGATCTTGACTGTCAGCAACCCCACTTTGATACATGAAGGGCGCATATATGGGAAGGTCTGGGGTGTCGCACCGATTTGTCCCCGTTGTTGACCGACCAACTTTTCTTGCCTTGCCTTTTCTGCCTAGTCCCAATACAGTTAGTGCCACTATTCCCACACTTCAATATGGACCATGACATATATCTCGATGCGTCCTTGCTTTTCTTCTCCTTCCACAACCACTGACCAGTGTGCCCAAAGCAGGCTTTGAGCTACGCTGGTCCTTAGGCAAGATCTCATGCCAACTTCAACGTTACCGCTCTAAAATCCATTGCCAGTGCTCAACCTGCTATACCAGATGGAGTACTGATCTCTTGTCTACTGATCGTGTGAAGCTCAAACTTTGGGACCACGCCTAGTCCTTTCAACCCCTCTCATCGTGCCCCTGGCACTCCACTGTCCTCTGGTGAAGGGAACTACCCTCATCTCATCTTTTTTATTTGTCGTTCCGTCTTGTGTCCAATCCTTACATAGAAGGGCCCTTTGGCAGCCAAAAACTGCAATGGTAATGATATTTTTTAAACCTGCCGGCATGACACCCGCATTGCCTTCAGTCTATCATGCCTATCCGCTATCTTCTTAGCCTACAGCCTGCCTCATGCGATCTCTGGAGGAAGAGAGCGTGCTTCATCGATGTGGCTGTCAGGAACTGAACTTGAACCACGGCAGGCAAACGACTCCCTGCTCAAGCATATAAATACTTCTCCCTACGTCTATGCCTCTACTTTCTTTCCTTCTTCTACGTCCAGTGCTTCAGAAGACAGCCGTGCCTGACAACACGAGTGGAACCTCGTGCTATCGCCAGCGAGGAAGTTCGCTTAGGAATCGTATTCCGCAATACCCGTGTCCAAAGCCTTCTGAAGCGAACTACTCGCAGTGCAACTGCAAATGGCAAGGAAACCTTTGGAAACATCGGCTTGACACTAATATCTCACTACCTTCGGTCCATTATGCTTATGCTACACCTTTTCATTCATTGGCCCACCTTCCGCGGGCATTGAAGGGAGCTGGATTTCTGCTATGTTCTATCTATTATACTGCCTGTTTGCTACTTGAAAACAGGAATGTGGGAGACTCGAGTCGCAGCACACGCTTAAAGAAACCCCTTGCCGTGCCCCTATCTCTAGATCTTGTCATTGTTCTCGATCTTTCCTGTGAGCTATCTTCAGGGAGGCAGCTTGCAGCAGGCACCCTCGTCATACCACCACAAAAGTAGTCATTAGAATCCATGATAGCCTCGTCCAAGGGCTTTACTGCCAAACCTGTTGTGATCTGGCTGCTATGATGATACATGTTTGAAACCACATGCCACTGATATCTCGCTACATTGAGTCCGTTCTACACATGTTTTCATTCACTGCTTCAACTTTGTGTGGGTAGTGAAGGAATAGGGTGCCCTCTATGGATACGGGTCAGTTAACGCATTCCCATTTCATTCCCTGACATAATTACTTAGATTTCACTCTGTGTGGAAAGAGGCCCGAGCACTTGCGCGCATCCTCGCGCGAGCATAAATCGCACTTCTTCCCACTCATTATCTCTTCTCTCTTTCCTTCTTCTTCATCCCACGAGAAAGGAACCACGACATACGGTGGGGTGGAGAGTCATGTTTGAACCACTGCCGTCCCTGTGTGAATACTCGTACTATCACCAGCTCGGAAGCAAGTCATGGCGATTCTATTTCGAACCAAAACTTCCACTGAGGGGGGACTCTGTGGCGTCAAATGAGAACGTTCAATCGCTTAACCGGGTATTTGAGCAGCAAATCTGCGAATATAATCCCTTGACGGGGTTTTTTGGGCTACAAATCTCCAGCTGCAAAGAGGTGGTGAAGTTTTTGAGAAGAAGGGGATGGCACCGATATATTCACTGTGTTTGATCTGTCGTCCTTACTGTTTCTTTTCTTTTCCTGCTTACACCTTGTGTGGGCGTTGAGGGAAGAGATCGTTGGCTACCTGTTATCACATCCCTAGATTCCCGTTGTACTTGCTACACACTACATTTTTCCTAGCGTGGAAATGAATCACACGTGAAATGAATCATGGCGTCTACTTAAAGCACTTTTTTCCACTTCTTCCCTCTCTCCTCTTTCTTTCTTCATATTCCCGCAGGCTAGGACGCGATCCTCAGCTCGGGGAGCCGGCCAGTTGGAACCACAGAGGGACCCCGGCCCGAATGTCCTCGTGGTTATCACCAGCTAGGAATTTCATAGCCGGGGAAAACCAATCGTCCAATTTCTGAACAGGGAGTCTTGTGGCTTCTAGTGCCCCCGAGGGCGAAATGTCTTCCTCGCGGTATGGAACCTCCGACGGTGATAAAAATCTTTGAAGCCAAGGACATGACACATATACTCTCACTATCTTCAGTCGTTGTCCCTACAATATCTTTTCACTCTCTGGTCTGCCTTGTATGGGCATCGAGGGAAGAGAGTCTCACTACCACCATCGGCTGCTAGACACCGTTCCGTTGACTGACTGATTGTAGCTTTAGTGGTCTCAAACATCCACAGCCCGTGATTGTCTCCCAAGCTTGCAAAGTTGTTCTTCTCGCCCTATCCTCCACTTTGTTGTCTTCTTCTACCTCACGAGAAGTCTGGCCCTTGTTGGATATCAACCATCCTCTCTAGAGGTTGGGAGTCAGGCGACATCCCAATACGGCTAGTATCGTATGAAGTCACCTCCTATTCCTCCGGTTCTCCCATACTCCTAGATAGATCAATCACGTATTCATACTTCTACAGCCCTCAGCTTCATTGTCGATGAGCTACACAACATGGATGCTCTCATCCGTAGTACAAGCGAGGACCCCCCTGACCGTGGTAGCTTTATCCACTTTCTAAGGTCATTTTGGCAGCCAAACCAAGAGCGAGCACATTCAGTTCCTGAGCCAGGTATTTTGGAAGGCAATAGAAACCTTGCAAGCGGTGATCAAATTTTGAAACCCACGGCATGACACTGATATCTTCCCTGACTTCAGTCGGCCGTCCTTACAATCTATACTTTTCAGTCTATAGTCCGCCTTGTGTGAGCTTCGGAGGAAGGGAGCAGTACCGAGATAGCGGGAATCGGTTCGCTGATGCCAGTTGTTTTGATTGAGTGCAGTGCCTACGTGCTTGTTGTCACAGAATATCTGTATTTCTTGGCGTTTCCCCACGGCTTCATTCCGTATTCAATTCTATACCCCTATTCTTTCCCTTTATAGGGAATAGATCACCATTGTAAACCATATAAAGTAGCTGCAGGAACAGCCTGTTTTCGTACGGTTCCTGTTGGAAAGGCCTGGCGGAAGTTTGTGTTTCCAGAATAGTCTGGCATACCTTTGTACTAAGAAGAAAGAACACGGCAGTGTTAGGAACGCCTTTAAGACCGTGGTTACTCTGTATTCTAATCTTGCTTTTCTATAGCTATCTCAATCTAAATGAGTTTGGTTCGGAGAAGCTTATGGTCCGTTAGTTCAACAGTTCCTGCTCTTCAGGATCAAGATCAATCTATCTACGCTCTTTTGGAATCTAACGGTGTTTTCCCACTGTGTCGCTGCATTAATCACCTGATTGAGCGAAACCGCTATTTATCTCACACTTGTCTGCGTAGAGAAAGTCATATCACGTGAGTGTTGCCCATCTTGCGCACACATCCACTTTTCTCAATGTCTACAGCTCTGCTTCTTCTCCTTCTCCTTCTTCTCCATCTACATCTACCCCAAGGAAGTTGGCCCGGGTGCCTATCCCTAATACCAGAGGGACACTCTCATGGAGTATCACCAGCGAGCAAGCCCTGACCAGATGTAACCTTGTCCAACCCCTGAGAATGGGCTTTGAGCCACCAGAAGCGCTCTGGAACGGTGACGAAAAATTTTGTAACCAGCGGCATGACACTGATCCCTTCAATGCCTTCACTCCGTCGTGCCCACTATTTATTTTCAGCCTACAGCCAGCCTTGTGTAGGATTTGGAAGGGAGTGCCCCCTTCCGCATGCCTATCATCAGTGGATGGGTATCCCGTTCTTTGAGCGCGTTGTCGTAGAACTGTGGGAAACAATTATCATGGTGTATGTGTGGAAGCGCTCAGCATCAAACCCATCTTCCATTTTCTCTTCGCTTCTTTTCCTCTTCCTGTATCATCATAACCGGTCCGTCGTTTGGCGACCATGTGGGACACCCTCGTTTTGACACCAACTAGGAAGCCTCGTTTGGATGCACTGTCCAATGCCTCGATTGGAATTCTGCAATTGAAACAATGTGCAAATGGTGGCACAACTTTGGCATGGCATGACGGTGATACTGCACTATTTTCAGTTCGTCGTGCCCAAATCTTTTCATTCACAGTTCACCTTGTGTGGGCATTGGAGGAAGAGATTATCTCTGGAAAGTTTGAGGTTGGTCCTTTACGGGAAGATTGATTGCCGTTCACTTTTGACCGTTAAAAGTCATCTTTCCCTCCATCCAGCTTCGCCACGAAATCACCAATATCGATGGCTCTACCGGTGTGAGTTCCATGTTCCATCCCACACTGGATGTTACATAGCCATTCCTTTGTCCTACCACCACCTGTGGACATTCCTTCACTTCAACAAAACTCTCCACCGCGCCCATCACTCTTTCTGGGACAGGAATGAGCACTATCTACTTATCCCCTATCAATGGCTGGTTTTCCAATGGAACGGCTTCCTCAGGAGTGAGTACGGCCTTGGTTATCGTTCGTGCCATTTGTCATCGTACTGATATTCCATAGAGTCGCTGACCCTCTCACATTCAAGCGCCTCTCCAGGGTCATATTTGGAGAAACTCAATGTTTCCTCTGGGATTTCGAACGTTATGTGGACACAGCATTCCGACTGAACACCGACCAGTCGCTGAACGAGATGCTCGTTATCTCATCTCCTACCATCGATCCTATCGAGCGCTCTCCTACCCCCCTGACTGTGACATCTCCTCGTTCACTGCCAATTACATCCCCCGTTCCCCCGTCGATCACGCCTCCACGAACGATCACTCCTTCGATCATAGATCCGGCCGAGCACATGCCCGAGCGACGAGACCGAAAACATCCGAGTCTTCGAAAGTCGATCAAGAAACTGTTTAGCTTTCGAAGGAAAGATCGTCGACTCTCCAACCCTTTCTTCTAGTCCGAAGATCCATGTTCTTGCTGCGAATGTTGGGCATCCGTAGCAGGAACGTTGGGTCGAGTCTCGGCAGGAAGATGGACACGGCCCAGGAAATCTTTATCTCAAGCTGAAAGATTTTATGGCGCCGTTCGTCATCATGTTGGTATGGCCCAGCATCATATGCAGGTTCCGCAGTACTGATGATTCGAAATTAGGTGAAGAGGGAGGTGGTTTCTGCGACGGCGTCTGGGCTCTTGATTCACTACCATCCTTTGAACTGCAGAGCTCTCTGTGATGGGCAACTGAACATCAATTTCACTAAGGGGATGTTCGCTTTGACGCTCGATTGAAGCGCTTTCGTGTATATATCATTCGGAAGAATAAAGATCCCTCAACCCATTGCATCAACTATAACGTTTCTAATTGATTCAATGTCAGCATCCGTAGTAGAATTGCTAAATTTTCTTTATTAGTTAGTTCATGCCGTTAAACTCTGCCACTTGGCCATCATTCCGTAATCCAATTCATACATTCTGGTCTTCATTGCCCATCTCTCTCGTATATAGCTGTTTTGAAAGCAACCGCATATCGTAACCTTATATAGCCAAGAATATTCCGTTTAATAGATGTCGAATAGGGAAACCAGTGTTGAATTCCAGAACTCTACTGTCTCTCTACCAGCATCATTCATTTAAGGAGTTGAGGGCTCGCGGAGGAATCGATCCACAATTGGCCACAATTCACACTTTCAGAAGACATAGGAGGTCATGTGAAAGGTATCTCTAGTGTTATGTCTGCATGTGTGGCTGCAATAGAATTCACCATCACTTGTTGACCTTCCAGTTTGTTCACACCCCCTTTTCTTCCTCTCCTCAACTTCTTCTCATAAACAACACACATCAAACTAGAATGTCTTCATCAAGCATCACCAACACTACCACCCTTGCTGAAGAAGACTCGTTTGCCTTCGGACAACCTCAATCATGGGCCGAGAAAACCCAGAAACGCGCTTACAGACTCATAAGGGGATGAGGAGGATGAGGGGGAGATGCTCATCGAGGAGGAGTGGGAGAAGGAGTTGGTAGAGGAGGAAGAGGAAGGGGAAGAGGAAGAAGAACCTGGGGCTGGCCACCCTTTCGAATCATATCCTCAGGGCCAAGGTAAGCAGCAGCCCATTATCAAATAGACAGGATAACAGTCTTGCTTGTCGATTGGCAGGCCTCGAGGAGCAGGTTGATGCCTTCGCGGTGGAGCTGGATACTGCGTTCCAGGGGCCATTTACCGGAGTGGAAGGTTTCTCCGCGGCGTGTCAAAGCCAGGGAGAGGGGGTGTCAGAGATTGTTCAAATCGGCAAGCGCCGATCCACGCGGTTCTCCGGTCTGTGAAAACTGAGAGCCACCATCAAGCAGGTCTTTACGATCCGCCGTGGTTCCTAAATACGCTGATAGTCTTGCCTGGTACTCTGATATGGGTGAGTAGTGGTGGGGGGGGAAGAAGGGAAAGGAACATAGTTGTTTGTCGAAGTCGAAACACATTGCGGATGCTGAGAGGCGGATCATCTGTTGTAGTTGCTCGTGAGCTAGCTTCAAACCGGGGGGGGGGGGGGGGG